TATCCGGGTTTGTATCTGTGTCATGTTTACTCTCATACACTAAGTGCTTAAGTCAAGTGGCAGTGGCTTTCACTGATGGGTGTGGGCAGTGTTAACGCTGCAGCGTGTCCTGGAGTCTAGGAAGCATTGTCTGCTGTTCCGTCCTATCGGTGATGTCCTGAGGAAAGGAGAAGGTATTTTCCCATTTGGGTTTCATCTTCAGTGGAAGAGGCTGATGCAGCTTGACAGCTCTCACTGGGATAGTGGGAAGTTACATAGTGAGCTGCAGTCCGTGACTACTTCACATGGAATACATTCATTCCCAGCACTGGAGATAACGAAATGTTAGTCTCCTGAGTCGGGGCCAGCAGAGATCAGTTCTTTCTTTGACAGAACAGGTAGTAAGTCAGACTTCATGGATGATATACTTTCATTTAGAAAAAATCACATAGCAGGGAAAATATTTTTGTTAAAGTAGACCAGTTCTCTGGAAAATTTTTTATCATATTAGATATCATATGTTATTATTATTGGATGAAGCATTGGTTACAACTGAGATTTTTTAAATTTGTATTAAAGGTCTATTTATTTTATGTACATGGTGCTTTATCTCCATGTACACACGTAGGCCAGAAGAGAGCATCAGATCCCATTATAGATGGGTGTGAGCCACTATATGGTTGCTGGGAATTAAACTCAGGACCTCTTATCTGCTGAGCATTTCTCCAGACCCCCGTCACTGAGATCCTTGACTTGAACACCCAGCATTGAAAATGCAAGACCTTTATACAGTGTCTAGGTCAGAGGGTCTTCAGGGGTCGGTTCTCCCTTCCATCACGTGCATCCTGGCTTCAACTCAGGGCTTCTTGGTGGCAAGTGCCTTTCCTTTCTGGGTCACCGTGCCAGCCCTGCCATACAGTTTTAGTTCACGAATTTTGTGTTCAAAATTCTTTTGGGTTTTGTTTGTTTACTGAGCCAAGGCCACATGACACTTTGAGAGTTCACACTGTGGCTGTGCAGTTGGGTAATTGTTCTTTCATACTGTCACACCTCGCTGCCGTGTTTGGACAGGTCTGAGAAAGAACCCCAGTTTAAGTTCATCTACTTCAACCACATGAATTTAGCAGAGAAAAGTACAATTCACATGAGGAAAACGCCCAGTGTGTCACTCACGTCCGTCCATCCAGATCTGATGAAGATTCTAGGTGACATCAACAGTGACTTTACCAGGTAATTCTAGACGCTTCTCAAAGCGGGTACTGTCTCTCTGAGAATAGATTATAAAGGAATTGCATTTATTTTTTATTCGTTTGTTTCCACAAATTTCACTCTGTAGCCTAGGTGGTACTCAAGATCCCCCTGCCTCAGCCTTCCCAGTGACGCAGATCCCCTGGAAAGGGCTCAGGCTCCACCCACTCATGGATGTTATTCCCATATCACACGAAGTTGCCTTCATTCACACATAACTCCTGACTGTTTGTGACGACAGTTTAGTGCCATTTCTTGTCTTGAGTTCTTTTTCCCCCCACAGTTGAGCTGAGTATATAAAACCATCCCATCTGAAACTTTCTTACAGAGCGGATGAAGATGAAGAAATCATTGTGAAAGCCATGAGCGATTACTGGGTTGTTGGGAAGAAGTCTGACCAGCGGGAGCTGTATGTAATTCTGAATCAAAAAAACGCAAACCTGATCGAAGTCAATGGTAACTAAGATTTGATATTTCAATGGAATTTTAATGCCACTGATATTTCAAAATGTTCTTTTCCCTGTATTGAGAAATATTATAGAACCTGCACACGGTGGTTCACACCTGCAGTTCCAGCTCTCAGGAGGACGAGGCAGGAGGATCAGGAGTTCAGTATCATCTTCAGATACATAGTGAGTTTGAGGTCTGCCTGGGCTACGGTGACCCTGACTCAAAAAAGTAAATAGGGCCTGTGAAATGGCTTAGTGGGTGCAGGAACATGCTGCCAAGCTTGACAACATGAGATTGATGCCCGAGACACACAAGTAGTCCTCTGATCTCCACACGTGTGCCATGGCGTACACATACATGGCCATGTTCACGTACTCGCGCACACACACAAATATGTAGTCCAAAACTTAATGATGCCTTAAAAGAAAATTGTTTTTGCCGGGCAGTGTGGTGCACGCCTTTAATCCCAGCACTTGGGAGGCAGAGGCAGGCGGATCTTTATATTCAAGGCCACTCTGGTCTACAGAATGGGAGCTAGGGTTACACAGAGAAACTCTTTTCGAAAAACCAAAAAAAAAAAAAAAAAAAGAAGAAAGAAAGAAAAATAAATCAACACCCACAGCCCCACAGCTGTACACACTGTGTACAGATGTCCTTTCATATGTCTGTGATGAGAACATGTCTCTCTAAACAGGCTGCCAGATTGACACGCTACCTCCAGCTGTCACCCTCTGCACATGGGCTGGGTCTGGCTGTTTGCACAGTGCATCCTGCAGCTGCTTTGTGGTCTTAATGAATGTTGTCCTGAAGCAAGGGTGGCTGGCGCTGGGCCTCTCCGGTGCTCAGCTGTATAATGGCACTAGCAGCAGCACGGGTCGGGGACATAGCCCAGTAAGCACACTGTAAAGGAAATCGAGGGGCTTACATCTTTACTTTTGCCTATTTGTTTGGGGATTTTTGTTTTATTTTTTTGAGACAAGATCTCCTGTCTGTCTGGCCTGAAAGTTACTATGTAGACCAGTCTGATCTTGAACTGAAAAACCGTCCTCCGGCCTTTCTCCTAAAGAACGTGATTACAGGCAGCCTCACCATGCCCAGCCTTAAGACATTTTATATCTGTGTTTGTGTTAATATTTGTGTACTGAAAAGCATCAGTTAGTGCAGGCCTGAAATAAAAACAGGAATTAAGAGGTGTGGGCATGTAGCTCTGGTCCAGAATTTGCCTGGCATACTCAAGGCTCTGGGCTCAAAGTGAAGTGGGAGTGGAGTAGAGTCGAGGCCATGGTCTCTGTGAAGCACTTGCTGTACACCCCTAGTTGTAGCCAGAGTTTCTGTGCACCCCATCCGCTTCTACAGAGCGCCACCCTTCTAATGCCCCGACCATGGGTGTCTCAGGCATTCCTCACACTGCTTCTTTCTGACCCTGAGAAGTGGTATTTCTAGTGTGCTTAGGAGTTTGATGTTTCCCTGGCTGCCTTCCTGTTGGCTAATCTTGTTATTGCTTAGGCTTCTGGAATTTAAAGTCAACATTAGTTCAGACTTACTTATTTCCTAACTGTATCCCCAAAGAACCGAATGTCCTGACCAAACATCTAGCCTTTAAGGAGAGAAGCTGTGTTCCTTGATACACCATTTTCTGTTCTTTTGCAGAAGAGGTGAAAAAACTCTGCGCCACACAGTTCAACAACATCTTCTTCTTGGACTGACCCCGCTGGCTCCCCGGGGCCTCTTTAAAAGCCTCAGCAAACCTTTTGTTTACCGTTACAACTTACTGGTCATGACACTGACTGGATTAGTGACAAGAGTAAAGCAATACCTGCTTTGAAAAATCAATTTCTACTTGGTCTGATGATTCCCTGAGGTTTTTAGATGCTGATTATTTATGTGGAATTAATTAAAGGTAGTCAGCTGAATATCATTCCATTCTTCTGACATTATGTGGATATTTTACTGGGAAATAAGACTAATAAATTGTTAAAGTTTTTAAAAATTCTGATTTCCTGTTGAGTCTTCTGTTGCTGGTTGTTTGACTGCACTAGCCAGTGGGGCTCATGGTCAGGGTCCAGAGCAACAGCTCGGCTGTTAGGAGCACTTTGGTCTGATTCTCATCACCGATACTGGGTGGCTCACAACCTCCTGTAACTCAAGCTCTAGGACAGTGGTTCCCAGGCGTCCTAATGCCACTCTCCTTTAGTACAACTCTTCATGTTGTGGTGACCCCAACCATAAGATTATTCTCAGTGCTACTCCCTCACTATAATTGTGCTGTTGTTATGAATCATAATGTAAATATTTATATGCAGGATATCTGATGTGTGACCCCTGTGAAAGGGTCATTCAACCCACAGATTGAGAACCACTGTCCTAGGGGATCTCGTGCCCTCTTGGTCTCCTGGGGTACCTGAACTCACATGTACATATGTGCACATATACAGTTAAAAGCAAAAGTCTTAACAGAAACAGTATTCTGACAGTGTGGGATGCTCAGCATTGGGGTCTGCCTGTTCATGAGAGCAGAACAGTGAGGTACTGATCACCCCAGAGTGGTCTAGCCAGAAACTGTTCCTCTTTGTCATGAGGCCCCCCTAAAAGCCATGACACCCTGCATCTCTGCACAGCTGGGGTGAAATATGGCTGAATTTGAGTGGTCTGAAAAACAATCTTTCCCAGCCCCCAAAGCAACTCTGCAATCAGCTTATAACCTCCATGAACCTACTGTGTTTGGGGTGAGGAAGCAGCTTCATCAGTTTGTACTGGCCTCATTGTTCCTCGGTTCAGAATAATTCACAGTGCCATTATGACTGTTTTTCTCTGCCCAAGCATAGCCTGAGACTGTGGGTTTTAGTTCCCCACCACACTGGGCTTTCCTGAGTGTCCCTGAAGAGATTGCGGTTGCATCTCAATTAGATGGTTGTCTGTGACGTGTTATTTCGAGTTGCACACATTTGTTTCAGTCAGCATTTATTCTCTGTTGCATTCTGGCTCCAGAGTCTGTGTATTAATTCGGACTTCTAGTTGAGTTGTTTTGTTATTTTGCTAATTTCAGGTCTTTTGTTTCTCTGGTCAAGTTGGTAATCTTCCCCGGAACTCTGTCAGTTTTGCAGGGCTAATATGTAGATTCAAATATGGAATACTTCCTTTGGGTCTTGACTCCTTTGCCATTATCTTAATTTGTGTGTGTGTGGGTGGGTTATAATCATGGGTATGTATTTCTGTTTATGAAAATGTGTGTGCATGTGTGCAAAGCACATACGAGTGTATGAGTATGAAGGTCAGAGGTCAACATTGCTATCTTCCTATATTTCTCTCCATCCTTGAGTGTGTGCTTATGGTGCTTGGGTGTATGTCTGTGCATATGTGTGTGGTATGCATGTGTCTACATGTGGATGGGTGTGCTTACCTGTGTATGCTCACGTGGAAGCCAGGGATAGATCTTGGATGTCTTCTATCACTCACTACCTTGTTTTTATTTATTCATTTATTTATTTTTGTGTGTACATGTTTCTCATATCCACAAATTCCAGAAGATGGTTCCAGATCCCTTGGAGCTGCAGTTACAGACCATCATAAGCTGCCCCATTGTAAGTGCTGGGAACCAAACTTGGGTCCTCTGCAAAAGCAGCACATGCTTTGAAGCACCAAGTGAGCTCTCTAACCCCTATTTTTGTTTCTTTGAGATAGGGTCTTGCTATGTCATCTGGCTGACTTGATCTTGCAGCAGTCTCCTGCCTGTATCTCCCGAGTGCTGGGATGGGCCTTTTGGTTCAGCTAACGTTGATTTACAAAAATATATTTAATACACATTTACTAATATATGCATGTCTACATAGTCATTTAGTTTAGTTTTTGCAAATGCAGCCATACAAGAAACTTCACATGTGGACCCAAGTAGAGCACCTCAGAAACTCTATCAGAAGCTAAGCTCAAACCCTTTATTTTATGGGACACTCATCTCAGAGCTCATATGTCTGCTGTCCTTGCAGCTCAGCCATGACTTCCAGTACCTTCACTTCTTTTTCTTCTTGCCAGGACTGGTCTTGCTGGTCTGGGTGGAAACTAAGTCCTCTTTAGGAGGGCTGGGTGTCAGTGGCAGTGAAGATGGAGCTTCCAATGGCTCCTTTAACAAAGTGATGTCAATATCGAAGTCTTGTCTCTTGGCCTCTTCTTCCCGTAGGATGTTCAGCCTAAAAATCAAAATGGGAACTTAGCTATTTTTTTCTGTGACACTCGTGAGACAGGGTTTCTCTGTGCAACAGTTTGCTGTCCTGGAACTAGCACTGTAGACCAGGCTGGCCTCGAACTCACAGAGATCCACCCACCTCTGCCTCCTAAGTGCTGGAATTAAAGGTGTGCACCACCACTGCCTGGCTGAAACCAGTTTTAGTTATTTTTTTACTTTTTAAAAAAATTATGTGATAGCTGGATGTGTTGGTGCGCACCTTTAATCCCAGCACTTAGGAACAGTGGCAGGTGTATCCTTCTGAGTTCAAGGCCAGCCTGGTCTATATAGTGAGTCCCAAACCAGCCAGAGAGCTATACAGTGAGACACTGTCTCAAGAAACAAGCAAAATTATGTTTACTTGTGTGCATGGCGTGGGAGGTTATGTGCACATGTGTGAAGGCGCCTTTGGAGTCCAAAAAGTGTCTGATCCCCTTTAGCACAAATTGCAGGTGATTGTGAGCCACCTGACATGGTTGCTAGGCATTGAACTCAGGTCTTCTGTTAGAGCAGTACACACCCTTATCCCCTAAACTATCTAGCTAGCTCTAAAGCCAGTTTTCCTGCTGTTTCAGCAGTGCTTGTAATAAAATGGTCTATTGTATTGAGAGTGCTCCAGGTAACACTTTCATGATGATCATGTGACCAGGGGGTGCTTTTCTCTGCAGCTAAATGTCGGAAGCCATGTCATAGGAACAGCAGATGACAATTAATATTTAAGGTGTCAGCCCACCCGGAGGAAAACTCTCTGATGGGAAACCTCGCTAAGGAAAGGCAATGAAACTATAGACTCTGGAATATCTTTTGCTTCGGTCTGTAACTTCATGTTTGCTATGCAGATTTCCCGTAGTGGCTATGGGGAGTTCCCCTCTGCCTGTGTTGTAGTGTGTTTATCTCATGGATACATCCCGATCTACTGGGCATTTGTGGATTGTCTAGAAGGTGACTCCTTCTTAAACTGTACTGTCTAATTGATATCAAGAATCTTACCTTCTACAGTTTTAATATTTAATATTTAATAAAAATGAATACAAAGCAATGCTACATAGTCTCACTGCCAGGACAGCTGTGCCCTATCTTCAAAGTAGCTTTAGATTAGACCAGGTACCTTGCTAATGTTTTTTTGTTTTTTTTTCATGTGCAGTGAACACTTTATTAGCAAGGCATCTCCTCAGCCCTTTCTGGCTTTTGTTTGTTGGGTTATTTATTTATTTATTTATTTATTTATTTATTAAAGATTTCTGTCTCTTCCCCACCGCCGCCTCCCCTTTCCCTCCCCCTCCCCTTGCTAATGGTTTTAAAGATAAATTATTCCCAGCTCACAAGGACATAATAGCCAGCTGTTGGATTTGTTGAACTAAGGCTAAAGGTGCAAAGCTGCCTAACTGCTGTGCCAGCCTCTCTTGCCAGGTCTGGCCAATAACCTGGGATAGTGATTCTCTGCACAAATTCCTAACCTCAGTTCTATGATACAGATATGTAACCTGAAGACGCAGTGCTCGGCCGCTTATGTTGGGTCCTGAAATTGCTCAGGGGAAGCCTCAGGCATATAGGACATAGTACACAATTCCTTATTTTTCTTAGATGCCTTGCTGGTCTAGTTCTATAGCTCCTTTGAACCTTTATAGACTTCCTCTCTAGATAGATAACAAAATGACTGATTCTTTCTGTGCAACTGACTGAGAAAAGGTGTTCGTTCCTTGCTCTGAGACAAGCTACTTAAGACTTATTGCATGTGAGTTGTCAGGGTCACTCTGTTGTTATTATTATTATCATCATTTACTTAAGAAATGAAATGTGACCTTAAAATGTGACTCCCATACTGCCTGAAAGTTTTTGCTGGGTATTTTAAGCTGCAAAGAACAGAGAAAGACGGAGCATCGTGAGAACAATTTGAGAGAATAAAGAAGGAATCCATCAGGAAAGTGTGTGAGTATCTTTCCCCATAATCCCCTCAGATAAAAAGGTCTCAGTTTGCGCTGTGCTGTGGACTTTCCCTCAGCCCTGTCCGCACCCTGGAAGCTGTCCTTCCGGGCTGTGATAGCTGAGCAGCTAGAAAGCAGCATGTTGATGAGGTCATGATATCTCCTGTCCCACCTGAGTACTGAGCTTGTAGGCTTCATCATACACAAAAGCTGCACAATACACAAAAGTTTTCAAAGCTCTGGGAAGAGCAGAAGTCTTTTTTAAAAATATTTTCCCAGTGCTAGGGACCAAACTCAAGCCTCATGTATTAGGCAAGTGTCTACCACTGAGCTACATCTCCAGCCCCCAGGTCTTTCCCTTTTGTGCCATTGGAGACTTGGGGCATTGTAAGTTTCACAGTCAACCTGTGGTCCAAGGATACTGTAAGCCTGTGGTCCAAGGATAGTGTGTCTCACTGTAAGCCTGTGGTCCTAGGATACTGTGTGTGTCTCACTGTAAGCCTGTGGTCCTGGGATACTGTGTCTCACTGTAAGCCTGTGGTCCTGGGATACTGTGTCTCACTGTAAGCCCGTGGTCCTAGGATACTGTGTGTCTCACTGTAAGCCTGTGGTCCTGGGATACTGTGTCTCACTGTAAGCCTGTGGTACTGGGATACTGTGTGTCTCACTGTAAGCCTGTGGTCCTGGGATACTGTGTGTCTCACTGTAAGCCTGTGGTACTGCCTTGGGTAGCTCCTGAGACTTGAATGAAACCGGAGCACGCCCCATGGAGGACAGGCGGGACCATGTCCTACCTGGCTTCCAGCTCTTCATCCTCTATCTGCCTCTGCTGAGCCAGTGCTGCTTGCTCCAGCCGGTTCTCCTTTATCTTCCCCTTGAGCATCTCCTCACGTTTGTAGGCGCTGAAAAGCACGCTCACAAAGAAGACATAGAGGTTGTTCACCCATATGTTGAGTTTCTCTTTCTGTTCATCTTTGGGTTTTTCATATTTCTCTGCAATGGAGTGAGTTAATATAGACATTAGGATGTGTGGCGATGCAGGGCCACGGCACCGAGGAAACTGCAGAATGCATCCGCAATAGCTGGGAGGAGCAAGTCAAGTGCACAGCGGCCTAGGGAGACTGTCAGTCCTGCTTTTCTGCCACCTCCCGTATCTTTCTTTTTCTTGAACAGCAGAAATGTGTTGTTGTTGTTTATTTTGTTTTGTTTGAGATCGGGTTTTACTGTGTAGCGCTGGCTGGTCTTAAACTCACAGGGATCTGCCTGCCTCTGCCTCCCAAGTGCTGTGGTATTAAAGGTATGCATCACCATGCCACACACACACACACACACACACACACACACACACACACACGATCTATACGGGGGAGGGGTGTGTGCACATGTGAGGGGCCTGCAGCGTACAGAATAGGGTGTAACAGTCCCTGGAGCTGGAGTTACAGGCAGCTGTTTGTGGAACTCTACTCTGGTCCTCTGGCAGAGCAATATATGCTTTAAAACTTTTTTTAAGAAGATTTAATACCTATTAGATTTATTTGTTTTATGTGTAAGTGTTTTATCTGAATGTATGTGCATCACATGAGTGTGTTGTGTCCACAGAGGTCTGAAGAGGGCTTTGCGTCTCTGGGGCTGGAGTTACAGGTGACTGTGAACCACCATGTGGATGCTGGGAATTGAACTCGGATCCTCTGTAACCGCAACAAGTGTTCTTCACCATTGAGCCATCTCTCCAATCCTGAGATGTGTGCTTTTAACCCAGGAGCTCTCCCTGCCGCTCCCCTGCTCTTTGGTAAGATCTTCATCAATGTGTGGCCAGCATCACTTTTCACATTCACTTTTGAGACTCTCCAAAAACTTTCCAGACCTGAGTTTGCACCAAATGTAAATGCATACTTCAGGTTACAACTTAGTAAGTTTCATATTTATGAAATTATTGTGTTACTCAAGTTTAACAATGCATTCTTTTGCCAACATAAATGCCATTTTTTGTATCATCTATTGAAATGAAGACCAATCAAGTCAGCATTATCTTATGATTTCCTCAGACATGTAAAACATGTGAAGAGAAATCAGATTCCCAGACAGTACTCCTCAGCCCTCATGAAGTGAGCGGGCTGGATGGGCAGAACTGAGAGAGGCTCTCTAGTGGCACCTCCATTCTCAGCCAGACTGGCATTTAGATATCTGGGACAAGTTCACGATACCATCTGGTTCCTGCTTATTCAGAGCCTGAGTGCCACCAAGATAGGAACAGCTTTGTTTCCAAGTGAGCTCTGGCTTCTAGAGAACTGCAAACCAAACACTTCCCAGGACCAGACATCTTTCTTCCCTTTCTTTCTAAAATAATATCTGATTCTTTCCAATCATCATAATTTTTCTGGTCTTTTTAGTGTGGGGTTGAGATGGCTGTGTAGGCCAGGCTGGTTGCAAACTCAGCGTGGTGCTGCCAAGGACTGTGAAGTCCTGGTTCTCCTGCTCACACCTACCGAGTGCCGAGACCACAGGTGTGCCCCACCATACCTGGTCACTTTCGTAGCTTTGAAACAATCCTAACTTGTCAGTTGGCAAATTTTAAAATTTAAAGAGTTGGTGCTGGGCTTATGGCTCAGTGCAGTAGTAGGCATTTGCTAGCTCACGTGACAGCTTGATCCCATCCCAAGAGTGGCAAAAACTAAAAGATAATGCAGAGAATGGAATTATGTGCAACCCAAGACTCCAATTACTAAAGTCAAAGCAAGTCTGAAAATGAAGAATTATTGCTTCTTATATTCCCACTCAACTGAGAAGCCTAGCTCGCAAACATTAGTCACAAACATGCAAATGAGGTCATCAGATGAAGTGGGATTATGTGGGCCAAGGGACTGCTTTGACAGCAGACAAACCAGTAGCCATACAGGAGCTGGCACACAGTGGGCAGAGGTGCAGGGCAAACCAAGACACAGCTAGAGCTGAAGACCAGTTGCCGACAAGTACTATAGCAGTACAGAGCAGAGACACTGTTTCAAAGACCAAAACCAAAGTAGATATGACGAGGGCAAAGATGCTTGCCACCTAGCCAGACAACTTCCGATTAATCCCTGGAACCTACATGGAAGGAGAGAGATAAGTCATCCTGACCTCCATACACACTGTGAAACACTCAGGCCTACATACACAAGACAGACACAAGACAACATTTTTAAAAAGGCATTAATTAGGTTTCCCTTTAGAACTTTCTGTTCTGGAACTGTTTGTCTTGGTCTGGGAAAGGTTCTCGCTAGGTATAGTCCTCAGAGAGGATGGTGACCACCATAGGAGAAACGTTTGCTGGCCTTTCTGGTTCATCCCAAAGACAAAGGAAACAAAGAGGGGGTGATACCCAGAGGGCAAATTTCTGGAAGCTGCTCCGTCCCGAACACAGGCTTGATGGAGGCACAGAACAGCCACCATGAGGGCCAGCAGCAGGTGAGCAGCCGTGACCTAAGGGAGAGCACGGGAGGAGACGCGGCAGCCTTGCATCAGCAAACACAGAGGCAGCACCTGAGTCTGGGGGAAACACTTACTGGACAAAAGAGAGCACACGTGTGACTTTTAGCAGGGGAGATGCGTGTGTGCACACGGCTGGGAATGAGTCATTGATGAAGGAAGAGACAGCCTGATCTCCACATATGCAAAGCAATATACCAAGAGGACAGAGCCGTAAGAGAGTTCCATGCGGTGTGCAATCTGCTCCAGAGTACAGTCAGGAAGGGAGGGACCGCAGGGCCTGCGGGGTCGTGGGACCTAGGCTAGAGGCAGCTGAGTGGCTCAAGGACACAGTGGAAGAAAATCCTCAGAGCAGTGTCCATACAGCAGAGCTAGGGAGGAGGAGGCTGGAAGCCCCCAAGAGTGCTTGTCCAGCATGTACGAAGCCCTGAGTTTGATCCTCAGCGCCACATAAAACAGGTATAGTGGCATATGCCTCTTAGCCTAGGAATTGAGAGATGGAGGAGGAAGAAGGGTCAGAAATTCAAAGTCATCCTTAGCTAGCTATAGAGACCAGCCTGGGGTACACAAAACCAACTCTCAATAAGAACATTTTAAAAAGGGTTCAGGAGGCTGTGGGGGCGCACACCCTTAATCAGAGCACTCAGGAGGCAGAAGCAGGTGGCTCTCTGTGAGTCTGAGGCCAGCCTGGGCTGCACAGTTGAACTCTGTCTCAGAGCAGGAATGGGATGAGACTGTCTAGGGAGACAAGCTGACCGCTGTGGTGTAGCCAGCAGTGCAGCCCTGGGCTAAGAGGGAGCTTCTCAGGCCTGAGGAGGCCGGGAGGGAGCTGAACCAGAACCATAGAGCTGGCACTGTTGCTTGTGTTAGAGTATGTGTCCAGTTCACGTGAAGCTCAAGGTTCAATCCTGAGTATTGTTCCCTGCCCCTCAGAGCCAGAAGCTGCCATAATGGTGCAACCGGGAGCAATGGGTAGTGAGTGCAATGTGCTCGGTTGCAGTACTCACCGTGTGGGGACATAAACACCAGCCCTCTTCCTTGACTCTTGAGGTTCATTTTAGAGTCTTTGTCCTCACTTAGGGATTTCTTGAGCTTGGGCTTTTAAAAAAAAGAGAGAAAGAAAGAAAAACTAGGAAAGAGTTATTCTGCAGCATTATATACTAAAACCAGTCTTCTATGTTGTACATATTCAGGGGACTGTTGAGAGGCTCTTCCTCTTTTGCTTCTGCTGTGTTTAGAGGCATTCCAGACTAGCCCTAGACTTGCAATCCTCCTGCCACAGCTCGCAGAGAGCTGGGCTTCAGGTAGGCACAACTCGCACAGCTGTAGAGTTTTAGTCTCATTTGTTTGCTTTCTCCAACTCAATACGACAGCCCACGCTAGGGTGAGGCTATTCTTGTTTCTGTGTTGAGCTAACTTAACTTTTATTTTTTGAGGCAAAATCTCAGTGTGTAGCCCCAGCTGGCCTTGAAATCTCTGTGCAGACCACTCCTCTTTGCCTCCCAGGTACTGGAGTTAAAGGTGCGTATCACCACACCTGCTTCATCTTTTGTTTCTGAAATTATAAAGTATCTTATTTGGGCGTGGGCTCTATACCAAGGTCAAGGTTCAACCTGACAATAGTCTGCTTGTTGACAGAGTCTTAAGATGGCCTGGGCATCACATGGTGAGGGACAAGGAGCTAATTTGGCTGTTTTTTCACTAAATAAAATATTGTGGTTTGGAGTCAAAGAGCTAGCCCAAAGGTCAGGAGCACTTGCGGCTCTTGTGGAGGATCTGAATTTAGTTCTGAGCATCATATTAGCTACAGGACATCCAGCACCCTCTTCTGGCCTTCCGTGGACACCCGCACTCACAAGTGCACACACATACATAATTTTAAAATAGTGCGTTTTGGGGTGGGGGTTGGAGAGATAGAACAGCACTTGTGACTCTTTCAAAGGACTGAGCACACACTTGGTGCTCATAACATCTATAACTCCAGACCTAGGACTCCAGTTCCCTCTTCTGGCTTGTGTAGGCTCCGAGCACATACAAACACACATGCAGGTGTAATACTCATACACATAAAAATAAATTAAAAAATTTCAGTTTGGGCAGGTGTGGTGGTACATGCCTGGACTCTAAGCATTTATTTGGGAGGTAGAGGCAGAAAGACCATGAGTTCACAGCCATCCTTTCTCACATAGGGAACTTGAGGCCACCCTGGGACAGACCTTCTTGAGAAAACCAAACACACATACTCACCTGTAGTGATGTTTTGTTTGTATTTTAACAAATAAAGCTTGCCTGAAGATCAGAGTGCAGAGTTAAACCACTAGAGGCCAGGTGATGGTGGCACACACCTTTAATCCCAGTATTTGGGAGTCCCACACCTTTAATCCCAGCACTAGGGAGACAGGAGTGATTTGGTTGGGTGGAGAGAGGAGTATAAGGTGGGAGGAGACAAGAGCTCAGTGCAGTCTGAGGACAGGATTGCCCCTTCGGTATGAGCATTGGTAGAGGTGAAAGGTCTTTCTAGTGGCTGGTCACACCCTTTTCTGATCCTTCAGCTTCACCACCTAATATCTGACTCTGGTTTTATTTATTAAGGCCAATTAGAATTCATGTTACACCCACCCCTATATAATATAGCTCAGTGGCAGAGTGCTTGCTAGCATGGAGTAGGCCTGAGTTCAAGGGCCAGCACCACAAAATGAATATAAAAAGCATCAACAAATAATTAGGTAAAGTGAAGTGTTTAAGACAACCAAACTGACCAATCAAACAACAGCTCAATTTGTATCTTTGAAGGAACAAGCTCAGTTCCAGCACCTACTGGAAAGTTGTGTGCACGTGGGTGGAGACCAGAAGACGCCTGGTAGGAATCTTGCCTCCTCCCACCATGTGGGACTCGGGCAGCTCAGGCAGTTGCTTGGCTGCAGCACTGTCCCTGCTGAGCACCCGCTCCCCAGAGTGTTAGCGGTCACATACGTGTGGGAGCACACATGCTTCTGTCTCCATCTAGAATTCACCCCTGACCCTCGCTTGCTGCTGTGGTCGCTTGCGTGTTTTACCAGGCACTTGAAGCATGGCCATAATCAAGCTGTAACTTCCCCCTCCAATCTCAGCTCTGAAGAGTCTGGTCTTCAACATGATACTAAAGCGTAACTTTATTCTCCTAGGCGTGCAAGCCAAAGCTCGCAGCTCGCCCTCACCTTCCCTTTCCCTCCGAAGCCCCTTGGTCCCGAGCCCTCCTCCCATCCTTTACCATGATGCTTCTGAGAGCTTCCCAACTGGTGTGTCATCAGGGAAGCCGAAGAGTCTGCTAAAGGCTGTGCTCCTCCGATGGCTTCCCACCCATCTCACCCTGACCTAGCCAGAACTTTACATACTCCTGAGTGGGAGCCGTCCTGCTCACAATGACAGATTCTAGAATCAAACAGCCGAGGCACAAGCCCCCAGCTCCACAGCTTGCTGGGGCTGCGACCACAGGCAATGATGTAACCTTTTTCTTTCCTAGAAGTAACAAGTCACGAGGTTCATCTGAGGCTTCTAAGTGAGCTGATCCCTAGGAAGTGTTGGGCAGCTGGCAGGGCCCTGAAAATGGGGGTTCCTGCTACTCACTTCCTCTACTCAACAGCAGCCTGTGAGGTCAGCAGAAGATGGAATTCCTGCCCAGGGTTGTCCTCAAAACACAGAAGGGTGCTCTTCACATAATGGCCATGTGGTCAGGACATGGCAAACTGTAAATACTCACCTCTGACTTCCTGATTTTACTGTCAGGCAAAACTCCTGTCTTGTCAGAAGACGACTTGGTGCTGCTGAAGTGGACTTCGGAATCATGGCTCGTGATTGCACTTGGGCTCCTGTGGTTGCTCTGAGGGAGGAGAAGCGTGTGAGCTTATGGTTTCCCTGGACGTGTGCACACAAGTGTACACATACATGTGTGATCCTTTAGTGAGGTGTCACTGATGCACCGCAAGCTCACTCTGAGCATGTATCCACATCTGGGAAACATCACCGCAGACAAGACAGTGAACACACCCACCACATCCAACTTCCCGGACCTCACTCCTCAATCCATCCCATGACACCTGGCACTCTCTACTTTTATATAAATGTGATCATATGTTATGCACGCTCTTCCTTTTGAGGCAGGATCTCATGTAGCCCAGGCTGATCTTGGACTCAATATATAGCAGAGGAGAACCCTGAAGTTCTGATTCTCCTGAATGTTGGGAATAGTCATACTCCATCATGTCTGATAATAGAAAGCGCTGTCAGCATGGGACACCAAGCCCTCTGCTTCCCCTTTCACCTATCCACATGTTTATATTTATGGCTGGCTCGCTGCAGCATCTGACAAGGCTGGTGCGTGCCTCTGTCTGGGATGTAGCTCATAGGCATTTACGGTGATTAACTACATTCCGCTGTTTGTTCTGGTCTTGATTTTCATTTTCTTTTCTTGCCATATTTTTTTATAATTTATTTAACTTTATTTTATGTGGACTGTCGTGAAGGTATCCAGATCCCCAGAAACTGGAGTTACAGACAGTTGTTAGCTGTCATGTGGGTGCTGGGAATTGAACCTGGGTCCTCTGGAAGAACAGCCAGTGCTCCCAACTGCTGAGCCATCCCTCCAGCCCCCCCCCATCTTTTTAGATGAAGCATTTTTTTTAGAAGATTTATTTTCAAGCATGTGTGTACGTGTCTGTATGTGCTGTGTCTATGAAACCAGAAGAAGGAGTGGGATCCCTGGAACTGGAGTTACAGGTGGCTGTGAGCTGCCTGTCATGGGTCTGAGAACCCAGGTTCTCTGCAAGAGCAGCAAACATTCTTAACCTCTGGGTCATCTCTTCAACCCCTGGACTTTTTTTTTTTTAACTGCTTTATCTCCTTTATTTTTACTTTACCTTCATTGGTGTTTTGCCTGTAGGTATGTCTGTGTGAGGGTGTCAGAAGCCCTGGAACTGGGGTTACAGACAGGTATGAGCTGGCATGTGGTTGCTGGGAATTGAACTTGGGTCTTCTGGAAGAGCAGCTAGTGCTCTTGTTCCTGGAGCCATCTCTCCAGTCCCATACCCTTCTGGTTTTAATTACAGGTCGTTGTTATTAGGGTGGTTTACAGTAGGGTTCTTTAATTTGGCAAATCTACCATCAAGGTATATCATGCCACTTAAAGTGATAGAACTTTAATAATTGTTACTTTTTATTTGTGCACATATATGACACGTATAGGTTCTAAGGATCAAAGACCTCAGGTCATTAGGCTTGGTGGAACCATCTCAGCGGGCCTGTGCTAGAACTTTAATATTCTATTCCCAGCTCTTCTTTTCCAACCCTCAGGCTGTGCTCATCTTTCTCATGAGTATGTTACTGTTGCTTTGGACTGTCAATTATCCGTTGAAGAGATGTTTGGAAACAGAGGAATCCACAGTTCTTTATGGCATGGCTTTTCCATATGAAGTTGAGTATTGTTCTTTCGAGATCTGTGAAGAAGTTTGCTGGGATTTTGATGGGTATTTGATGGGAATCTGTAGATTGCCTTTGGCAAGATTGCCATTTTTACTATGTTAATTCTACCTACCCAAGAACATGAGAGATCTTTCCATTTTCTGGTGTCTTCTTCAATTTCTTTCTTCAAAGATTTAAAGTTCTTGTCATACAGGTCTTCCTCTTGTTTGGTTAGTTACTCCAAGATATTTTATGTTATTTGTGGCTATTGTGAAGGATTATGTTTCTCTGATTTCTTTCTCAGCCCATTTATCATCTGTGTAAAGGAGGGCTACTGATTTTTTTCTGAATTAATCTTGTATCCTGCTACATTGCTGAATGTGTTTATGAGTTGTAGAAGTTCCTTGGTAGAATTTTTGGGATCGCTTATGTAAACTATCATATCATCAGCAAACAGTGAGAGTTTGACTTCTTCTTTTCCAATTTGTATCCCCTTGATCTCCCTTTGGTGTCTAATTGCTCTAGCTAGGACCTCAAGAATTATATTGAGAGAGTGGACAACCTAGTCTTGTTCCTGATTTTAGTGGGATCACTTTGAATTTCTCTCTATTTAGTTTGATGTTGGCTGTTGGCTTGTTGTATATTGTCTTTATTATGTTTAGGTATGTCCCTTGTATCCCTGCTCTCTCTAAGACCTTTATCATGAAGGGATGTTGTATTTTGTTGAAAGCTTTTTAACATCTAATGAAATGATCATGTGTGTGTGTGTGTTTCAGTTTGTTTATGTGGTGGATTACATTGACAGATTTTTGGATGTTGAACCATCCTTGCACTTCTGGGATGAAGCCTACTTGGTCATGGTAAATGATTTTTCTGATGTGTTCTTGGATTCAGTTTGCCAGTATTTTATTGAGTATTGTTGCATCAATGTTACAGATATTGGTCTGTAATTCTTTCTTAGTTATGTTGTTATGTGATTTGGGTGCCAGGGTAATTGTAGCCTCGTAAAAAGAGTTGGGTAATTTTCCTTCTGTTCTATTGTGTGGAACAATTTGGGGAATATTGGTATTAGTTCTTTTTGAAAATCTTATAGAATTCTGCACTGAAACCATCTCATCCTGGGCTTTGTTTTTGGAGGGAGACTTTTGATGACTATTTCTATTTCTTTAGCAATTATAGGTTTATTTAATTTGCTTATCTGGTCTTGATTTAATTTTCAGAAGTGATATTTATCCAGAAAGTTGTCCATTTCCTTTAAGTTTTCCAATTTTGTGGAGTACAGGTTTTCGAAGTATGACCTGATGATTCTCTGGATTTCCTCCAGTCTGTTGTTATGTCCCCCTTTTCATTCCTGATTTTGTTAATTTGGATATTCTTTCTCTGCCTTTTGGTTACTTTGGACAAAGGGTTGTCTATTTTGTTGATTTTCTCGAAGAACCAACTCTTTGTCTCACTGATTCCTTGTATTGTTTCTTTTGTTTCTATTTTGTTGATTTCAGCTCTCAATTTGATTATTTCCTGCCTCCTGGGTGAGTTTGCTTCTTTTTGTTCTAGAGTTTTCAGGTATTCTGTTAACTCACTAGTGTGGGATTTTTTCCAGCTTCTTTATGTAGGCATTTAGTACTATGAATTTTCCTCTTAACACTGCTTTCATTGTGTCCCATAAATTTAGGTATGTTTTGTGATCATTTTCATTGATTTTAGGAAGTCTTTGATTTTTTCCTTTATTTCTTCCTTGACCCATTGATGATTCAGGTGAGCATTGTTTAATTTCCGTGTGTTTCTGGGCTTTCTGGAATCAGTGTTGCTGTTGAATTCTAATATTAAGCTATGATGATCTGATAGGACACACGGGTTATTCCAATTGTTTTGTATCTGTTGAGGTTTGTTTTGTTACCTAGTATGTGGTCAATTTTTGAGAAGGTTCCATGAGGTGCTGAGAAGGTATAGTCTTTTATGTTTGGATGGAATGTTCTATAAATGTGTTAAGTTTGAGTCATAACATCTGTTAGTTCCCTTATTCCTCTGTTAATTTTCTGTCTGCCTGACCTGTCCAGTGGTGAGAGGGGAGTGTTGAAGTCTCCCACTATTATAGTGTGTGGGGTTTAATGTGTGATTTAAGCTTTAGAAGTGTTTCTTTTACATATGAGGGTGCCCTTGTATTTGGGGCATAGATGATCAGTATTGAGATTTCCTCTTGGTGGATTTTTCCTCTGACTAATATGAAATGTCCTTCTTTGTCTCTTTTGATTTATTTTAGTTTGAATTCTATTTTGTTAGGTATTAGGATAGCTACATCAGCTTGTTTCTTAGGTCCATTTGATTGGAATTTTTTCCCCCAACCCTTTACTCTGGGTGATACCTGTCTTTGAGGTTGAGATATGTTTCTGGTACGCAGCAGAAGGATGGATTCTGTTTTCATATCCAATCTGTTAGCCTGTGTCTTTTTATAGGTGAGTTGAGTCCATTTATGTTAAGGGATATTAATGACCAGTGATTGTTACTTCCTGTTATTTTAATTTTCATTGTTGGTGATGTTATTGTGTGTGTGTTTTTTTTTTCCTTTGGGATTTGCTGCTGTGAGATCAGATCATCTGTTGTTTGTGTTTTTGTGAATGTAGCCAACTTCCTTGGGTTGGAGTTTTTCTTCTAGTACTTTGTGTAGGGCTGGGTTAGTGGCTAGGTATTGGTTAAATCTGGTTCTGTTACAGAATATCTTGTTTTGTCTGTCTATGGTAATTAAAAGTTTTGCTGGGTATAATTGTCTGGGCTGGCATCCCTGGTCTCTTAATGTCTGCATAACGCCTGACCATGACCTTCTGGCTTTGACTGTTTCCATTGAGAAATAAGGTGTAATTCTGATAGGTCTGCCTTTATATGTTACTTGGTCTTTTTCCTTTGCAGCTCTTAATATTCTTTCTTTATTCTGTGTTTTGATTATTATGTAGCAAGGGGACTTTATTTTTGATCCAGTCTATTTGGTGTTCTGTAAGCTTCTTATATCTTCATATGCATTCTTTCTTTAGTTTGAGAAAGTTTTCTTCTATGATTTTGTTAAATAAATTTTCTGTGCTTTTGAGTTGGACTTCTTCTTCTATCCCTATTATTCTTAGGTTTTGTATTTTCATAGTGTTCCATATTTCCTGGATATTTTGTGGTAAGCTTTTGTTAGATTTAAAGTTTTCTTTGATTGATGAGTCTGTTTCCTCTACTGTATCTTCAGTGCTTGAGATTCTCTCTTCCAAGCTGGGTGTGGTGGTGAATATCTTTAATCCCACCACCGGGGAGGCAGAGCAGGGGGAGTTCTGTGAGGTCGAGTCAGCCAGGATACATAGTGAGACCCTGTCTCAAAATAAATAAATGAAAGACTCTAGTGGGCTCAGGGAACCACTAGACTGTCTCTTGTGGCTCCAAGTGAATGTCTCAAATGTCAGAAACCCTTCAAGTCCACTAACATGCAACCCCCACTAAAAATATGTTATATCGCTAGGCAGTGGTGGTGCATGCCTTAAATCCCAGCACTCAGGAGGCAGAGGCAGGTGGATCTCTGTGAGTTCGAGGCTAACCTGGTCTACAGAGTGAGTTCCACGACAGGCTTCAAAGCTACAGAGAAACCCTGTCTCGAAAAACCAAAAAAAAAAATCTGTTATATCTCAATTTCCATGGATGTCCCCATGCTCAGGGGGCTGCTCAGTGTTACATGCACACCCAGGACCTGTTTCTTGGCATCTTTGTTGTCAGGTGGGCTTTCCCCTCTGCACACCAAGCAAAGCATCTCCTGGTAGCTTAGCTCAGATTTTCTCAGCTGTCCAGCTGCTTTTCATACTGACCTTCACTGTGTTGTTTCCACTGCTGTGGCTAACACCAGGAAACAGATTCCTGCTAACTTAACAGACAACAAAAACACGCACTCCTTCCAACAGTGAAAGACAATGTACATGTTCCCAGTCCTCAGTTATCTCTGGGAAGTATATATATTAGAAACTTGAGACAGTTTTGGTAAGAGTCTAGCTGCTCCAGGTTGAAGTCATCCCTCACTTTATAAACTCTACCATATTGGCTGTCACCTGGTTGAGTATTGTGTGAACGCTGCCGTATCGGTTTCCAGTAGCATCATCATATGGAACTTTTAAATAGGATCTAGTCATCCGGTCAAAAATGCAGCAGAGTGAGAAGCATAAGAGAGCTTCAAAGAATTCCAGGAAAACCAGCTGCAACGATAGGAAGCATAGGGAGGTCTCATTGACTCTGACACTCCAGAGCGCACCAGGGATTGACTGGCGATTTCTTATTTGTTATTCCTTTTGCATATGTGCTACACATGTGTACAACAACACATAGATGAAAGGGAAGGCCAGAGGATGACACTGGGTGTCTCTCTTTACTGCTCCTCCCCACCTTGCTCTTTGAAATGGGGTCTCTCACTGGCTCGCTGATTCAGTTAGGCTGGCTGACCAGCAAGCGCCAGGGATCCTCCTGTCTCCCCCTCCCCAGCACTAGTATCACAAGCATGCACCACCACACCTGGCCTTTTTATGTGGGCGCTGGAGACAGGATCTGAACTCAGGCCCTCACGCTTGCACGGCAAGCACGGCACCAATACAGCCGTCTCCCCAGGCCCTTTCTTATATTAGTCTCTGGTTTTTGAAAAGTTAACTGTATATACGCATATCCCACTTTTTTATATGCATAAGGCATAAGAAACATGCAGCTTAAACTGGATCTGCAACATTTGTAGCAATGGTTTACAAACCTCAAGTTCAAAGTTGCTGTCAGTTCCGTCATACACAAAAGGGTTGTCCTCTGCTATCACAGTCATAAATTTGGTCGCAGTTAAGTCCTTGTTTATCATCCTAAAGTCCTGTGAAAAGATGGCACCAAACAGATGCCTATAAGTGCACGTGGGTATAGATTTTAATGTCCATGACGGCAACATAACACCTTGAGAAAATGTATCAGAAGTCAGTAGCTTAAAAACTGATTCTTTTGGAGGTTGAGGTAGGAGGATCTGAGGCCAGCCTGGGGTACACAGAAAGACCCTTCTTTAGATAAGAATCATAGGGAGGCTGGGGAGATGGCTCTGTCAGTAACATGCTTGCTGTGCAAGCGTGAGGACCTGAGTTCCATCCCTACCATCCATGTAAAAAGCAAGCACACAGCGGCATATAATCCCAGTGTAGGGACATGGAGGAGGGTAGATCCCTGAGGTTTGCTGGCCGGCACCCATATTACATGGCTTAATCACTTGTGACTCCAGCTCCAGTCTTTTGGCCTTCAAGGGCACATGCATGCAATGTCATATACTCACACACAGGTACACACATATATACCTAAATCTAAAAAAATTCTTAACCAGTGTAAAAGAAATGATACATAAAGTTATCATTGTACTGTCTCTAGCGAAACAGTGGACATTATTTAGCCAGTGAGGTATGACCACGGGGGCTGCTAAGGCCACCAGTAAAGGTTTATGGAAAACAAAGGATCAGGCTGGTGCCGCATGAGCCACTGGTGAATCCCCCAGCACTAACAGGAAACATAATGGGAAAGACTAGTAACCCCTGTGGCTTTGCAGAACACAAACATCTGAACCTAACCAAGTCTCTGTTTCTAGCTGCCACTTTCGTGGACTTGTGGGGAAAAGAAGATGCTGAACCTGACAGTGAGGACGCAGTCATCCTCTGCCCACCTCTGCAGGGACGAATGACTGCTTCTTCAGAAATAAATGAATACAGGAAAGAAGGGAACAAACAGCAGTATAATATTTTACCCCAAAACATATATTTTAAACACATTTCCCTAAATTTAGACAATAGGATTTTGTCACTTTTCATATATATATATATATATAAATATAAGTATAAATATATATATATATATAATTCTGTTAAGTTCCTAAATACTCTCTCACTAACATTTATTTCCAACTCATTATTTGTATTCCCACAAGTATAAATTTAAAATATTTTGGAACAAAGCTAGCAGCAGTCAGTTTGAGAACATGTATACAGACATGTCAATTGTTTTTCAAACTAATGACTTTGTTTTTTGTTGTTTTGACACAGGATCTTACTGTAGTGTAGACTGATCTTGAACTCCTGATCTTCCTGCCTCGGCCTCCCAAGTGCTGAGATTATAGGAATTTAACACCAAGCTTGGCTTCCAAAGTAATACATTTTAAAACTACTGTTTGATGAGCAACAATTTTTGTTTTGCAGTGCTGGGAACTGTTTTGCCATAGGCAAATACTCCATGGACAAGGTACATTCCAGTTCTGCCCAGCTAAACTTTCTATATTTATTTTATTTTCTGTATATGAGTGGTTTGTCTGCATGAATGTATTGCACCATAGTCACACCGGGTGCCCAGAGAGGAGGTCAAGAGAAGGCATCAGATCCCATGGAACTGGAGCTACAGATGATTGTGAGCTGCTGTGTGGGTGCTGAGAACTGAACTCAGGCCCTCTGCAGAAGCAGCCAGTGCTCTGTCACTGAGCTATATCTGCAGCCCTAGTGTTGTCTCTTTAGTGATATTTAGGGCTGACAAGATGCCTGAGTGGTAAATGTGCTTGCTAACACACACACACACACACACACACACACACACACACACACACCCTGAATCAATAGTAGATACGATGTTTTTTGTCTCTTCCTCTCCATGGCCACATGTGCTCAGGGCTTCCTCTCCCCTGTTCTGGGAGCATGCCAGGCACATACCCCCGGGCCCTTACCTTTGCTATCTGTCCCCTTCTTTGAAAGGAGACTTGCAAGCATTTGGTGGCCCTGAACCGTAACCCCAGATCTTCACCTCCTTAATCATACAGCATTGATTTATTTTAATTAAAATCAAAGTACCTATCAACATAAAGGCAACATCAACCCTAAGAGTTATTAAGCTCACTTTCAGCATCCAGAGGAAATACCTCATCTTCATTGTTAGCTCATAGGGCGGGGCTTCGTTTTGTCTGCAGTAGGTCGTGTAAATCTCCCAGCACTTATCGATATAATTCATTGAGTAGAGCGTCCGCTGTTGCTCACTGAATAAATGACCTAAAAATACAACATCCAGAAGTGATTACAGGGCTGGGGACATGGCTCAGCGGAAAAAAAACTCTGTTGTGCAAACGTGAGGACCCTAGTACCCAAAAAGCATATGACATAGAAGCCTGCCTATAACCCTAGAGGCAGATGGGATTCCCGGGCAAGCTGGTTAGCTAGATTAGGATAAATATAATCCTATTATTTTTGTATTTACCTTTTACCTGGCAGGCATGTGGATGAATGTTCTCAGTCATCAGTTTTGTAAAACACAGAAAGAGTGATGGGCTTCTGTTCCTATGATGAAAAAGATACCATAATTAATTATTCCAGGAGATGGAGCTTACCTTCCCTCTTCTGAAGAGTGGGCTAGACGTGACAAAACTGGCTTCTAACAAATAGAATTAAGAAAGGGAAATAGAGTAAGTTTATAGCAGAGAAGTCTGCTGGCAACTCTTCACTCTGTGAGCACTAGTCATAAGCCATAGTGAAGTTAGGTGCTGCCAATACCGTTTTCTGAGGAGATGGCTCGGTTGGAAAAGCACTTGCTGTGCAAGCCCAAGGACCTGGATTGTACAGAGCTGATGTAAGAGCACGAGTCTGAAATTCCAGAGCTCTACAGATGGGGGACAGTAACAGGAGGATCCCCAGAAGCTTGCAGGCCAGCTACCGTGTGTACACAGTGGCAACGACAAAGGGATCTGTGTCAAACAAGGTGGAAAGTGCAGACTGATACCTGAGATGGTCCCCTGACTGTCATGTGCACACCTTGGCACACTCGTGCTTGCACACACACACACACACACACACACACATTACACACATACCATAAACATGCACAAAAAGATATAAACAGTTCAAACCTAGTATTCTGCCCCAAATCTCTCACCTCACCTCAGTGTAATTGTGGGAAACCATCAGAGTGCAAACCCAAACTGTGAGACACTTCACAAAATAACCAATGAACATTTTTTTTTTTTTAAGATTGGGAGGTGGTGAAAGACAGAGACTGTGTAACTGTCATAGACTGACATACAGGGATGCTTTGAAGGCAAAATGTAGTGTGAGCTCCTGAGACAGAAAAGGGACCATGGGAAAGAGCAACTTTTGGCTGGGGATGCAGCCCAGTAGTAGAATTCTGCCTAGCATGTGTGGTCTCAGGTTTCAGTCCGCACCTTCCATCATGTTTGAGAGGAGGCTCTGAGTTCAATGACACTGTGCAGTGCTGGGTCCTTGATCTGGATGCATCGACTATGGTAAGAGGTTGGTGCTAGGGAAACCCGGGTGCAGGATACATAGGAATTCAATGTACTTAATGCCAACGCTTCTGAAAATCTAGTTATGTAGTTATAAGGCTATGTTAATATATATACAAACACATAGAAAGACAGAAAGACCAAGAAAGAGAGACAGGGTCTTATGTAGCTCAGGCTGGCCTTGAACTCATTAAGGATGATCTTAATTTCTTTTTTTAAAAATAATTTATTTTGCTGAGCGGTGGTGGCACACACCTTTAATTCCAGTACTCGGGAGGCAGAGGCAGGCGGATCTCTGTGAGTTCGCGGCCAGCCTGGTCTACAAGAGCTAGTTCCAGGACAGGCTCCAAAGCTACAGAGAAACCTTGTCTCAAAAAAAAAAATTTATTTTTATGAGCAGTGATTGGTGTTTTGCTTAATGGTACGCCTGTGTGAGGATTTTGGATTCCCTGGAACTGGAGTTACAGACAGTTGTGAGCTGCCATGTGGGGGACAGTGGCTCACACCTTTAATCCCAGCTTTTGGGAGTCACATGCTTTTATAATTCCAGCACTAGGGAGGTGGCGACAGGAGCGATATGACTGGGCAGAGAGAAAAGTATAAAGGGGAAGAGACAGGAACTGATCATGGAGTCCTCAGGATTCCTGGAGACAGGATCTCGCCCACTTCTGTCTGAGGTGGAGGTAAGAGCCAGTGGCTAGCTGTTTTGCTTTTCTGATCTTTAGGTTGAACACCAATATCTGTCTCTGGTTTTTATTATTTGTGCTACATTTACAGAACTAAAACAACTCAGATGGGGGTTCCCAACTTTTCATCCAGGACCCAGGCATTGCGGTTGAACTCTGTAGAAAAGCCTTGTGAAAACGACTATGGCTACTGTTGAAAAGAGGGTCCACTGGGTCCCCGGGCAGGAACACAGATGTGGCACTTACTGGGTTCCCGTGCAGGGACATGCAGGGATGCAGATGTGGCACTTACTGGGTCCCTGTGCAGGGATGCAGATGTGGCACTCACTGGGTCCCTATGCAGGGATGTGCAGGGATACAGATGTGGCACGTACTGGGTCCCCATACAGTGCAGGGAAGTGCAGGGATGCAGAAGTGGCACTTACTGGGTCCCCATGCAAGGATATGCAGAGACACAGACGTGGCACTTACTGGAACTCTTTGTGATGGATGTGGTGAGCCAACTGCAGGAGGTAATTGAGGAATGTTCTTAAGAGTATAGTTCTGAACGGAGAGTGGATTTCTTCGATTGGTATGCCATTATAGACTGAAAGAAAAATGTTGGTGAGATGGCTACTGCGCAGAAGAGCTCCAGTTACATTATGAGACATTTATAAGAGGAAGGTGGATCTCAGGGAGTTCCAGGCCTGACAGGGCTGTTACACAGAAAAACCCTGTCTTGAAAGACTCCTCCAAAAGATAATTTCATACATGTATATAATGTGCTTGATCAAACATACACCCTTATTTCCTGCCCTCCAATTCCTCTCCTATTATCCCCATCACCAACTTCATGTGCTTCTTTTTAAAACACACTGAGTTCCCTTAATGCTGCCTCTATGTGAGTGGGAATAAGACCATCTACTTGACTATGGTTAGCTGGTCAAGGACCACATCCCTGAAGCAAACTAACTCTCCCTCCCTCAGCAGCCATCAGTTGCTAATGGCTCTTCAGCTAGGGGTGAGATTTCATGAGCCCCTCCCCATCTGTGTTGGAATCTGGGCTGGCTTGACCTTATGCAGGTCTTGTTGCAGCTTCTGTGAGTTTGTATGTCCAGTGGCCCTATCATGCCTGGCAAATTCCTTTTCACTGTAGATGTCCAGTACCTCTGGCTCTCGGAATCTTTCCATTCCTCTTTTATAATGACCCATAAGAACAGATACCCAATCTTGAAAGATCGTTATTAAAAGCCTCACGTCCACTGTATCCTTTTGTCTCTATGTCTATGGGTTTGGGTTTGGGCAGACACATTTGTTCCTCACACTGAGCCATCTCCCCATAGTCTCTCTCACCACTTCTTGGCTTGTTTCCAGGTAGCAGTAACCGAGAGAGGAAGAGAACCCGGGATACTCACCACTTAGCACCCTGTCCATATCTGCAAGGGTGATATTGTGATGGTGAAACCTACAATCTTTCAGAAATCTCCAGAAGTGAAGCTTGGTCATGAGAAAGGTGTTATCCAGAGAGTGGTCACACCCGAGGCCGCTGTAGAAGCAGTAGATTCTCCTTAACTCTGAAATGTTCCTCAGGACTGCGTATTCCACCTGAAAAGAAGGTCGCACATGGGACCCAACTGTGCCTCATTAGAACAAAACTAAAGCTGGAGAGATGGCTCAGAGGGTAAGGGGGCCTGAACTCAGTTCCTAGCACCCATATTAGCTGGGATTACAGTATTTGCCATCATGCACAGTGGGTTTCTTTTCTTTTTTAAATTTTAAATGTTTACATGGATAGATGTTTTCCTGAACATATGTCAGTGCACCATAAGCACACAGCACCAGTGGAGCTAGAAGGTACTGGAGCCCCTGTAACGAGTTACAGATGCTTGTTAGCTACTGTGTGGGTGCTGGGAATTGAACCTGGGGCTTCTGGAAGAGCAGCTCTTAACCACTGGGCTATCTCTCATATCCAACATAGTAGGCTTCTTTCTCCTGCCTCTTTTCTTATTTTTAGATTTATTTATTCTATTTTCCATGTATTAAGTGTTTTGCCTGCATGTACCTATGTGTACCATGTGTGTGACCAGTGCAAAGGCACAGGACCCCATGGAACTGAGTTACAGATGGTTATGAGCCACCATGTCAGTGCTAGGAGCCAAAGTCAGAATCTCTCCAAAAGCAACAAATCTTAACAGAGGCATCTCTCCAGTCCCATAATGGGTTTCTTGATTCCTAGGGAGTCCAGAATTTTCTGACCCCAGCAGCCCCTTTGACCCTACCTTCCATGAATGGGAGGTGATCACAGCCCTGGGCTTCAGTTGGCTCTGAGGCCCTAGGCAATGCCACTGAGTGCTTCCCTCTCACAAAACCTGCTCACTACAGGGTTCCCGTGCAGATTGAGATGGTCTAGAGAGAGAATCCCCCAGGAACACAGCAGACAAAAACAGTGCCTAAAATGTAGATGTATAATGGTAAAGGGGATTTACCTGCTTCTTTTCTTCTTCTTGGGTTTCCTCAGGGTACATGTCCAGCAACAAATTTAAGTCCAGTTCAATACTGGATCCTAACACAGAATGGCTTTCGCTGCCGTCCAACTTTCGCAGGGTCTCTAATGAATGAAGCAAATATGGGGATGACTGTGAAAAGCAATGATAATATCGTGGGCTGGAAAGAAGGCAGCTCAAGGAGCTGGCTGCTCTTCGGGGCGACTCAGAACTGTCTGTAGCTCCAGCTCTAGGGGTCCAGCACTTTCTTCCGGTCTCTGAGAGCACCCACAGACATGTACATGTACGTAAATATAAATAAATCTTTCAAAGAAATCCTTCCGATGTCACATCAGAATGGTTGTTTTATCAAAATGTGATTGAAGAATATTCAACAACCATGCATTGTGGCACAGGCTATGTACCAGCCGCCGAGAAAGCTGAGGCGGGAGGATTCCATGTTCAAGACCAGCCTGTGCTACAGAGAGACTTTAAGGACAGCCTGAATAACTTATACTCCTTTTCAAAATTAAAAACTAAGGGTCACTGTGATGGCTCGGTAAGGAAAGGTGTTTGCTGCCAAGGCGAATGACCTGTGTTTGATCCCTGGGACCTACGGGGTCAAAGGACAAATGTGCTTCCCCAAGTTGTCCTCTGACAACCACATACATACACACAAACAACAAATAAAGACATTTTTAGATTAAAAGTTCAAAAGGAGGGCATGGAAACAGTTCAGTGGTAGAGCACTAGCAGTTCCCACAGTAATACAGCTCAGTGGGCAGAGTGCTTGGCTCACACATAAAGCCCTGGTGCCATCTCCAGCACCACATAAACTGGGCACAGTGGTGCACTCCTGCCATCCTAGCACTTGGGAGGTGGAGGATGGAGGGTCAGGAGTTCAAGGTCATTCTTGGCTAGTCAGTGAGTTCAAGGCCAGCCTGGACTACAAAAGTGACTTCCAGGACAGCCAGGACTGTTACACAGAGAAACTCTGTCTCAAAAAGCAAAGCAAACAAACAAATACATAAACAAAAGATATTAGTTTACTTTCACCCACCAGGCTCCCTATCAGCACTGGCAGAAGATCCCCGAGGCAGCCGGCTCCTTTGGGAAACATCTGACGGACGGTCCAGGCTGCGTGTGTAATCGATTTCAGTTTCAAGGTACTGTGCAATGTGGTCATTGGAAAACAGACCTTCATACGCTCGTCCGTTCTTGAAAGTTATCCTGCCCTATGGAACACAATGTCAGATGGTGCGGGAGAGGTATTATTCAGTGTTCATCAGGGGAGTTTTCAAGGGTTTGGATGTTTTGAAGATATGTACTTAGATCACAAAGAATCATTGTCCATGGGTTTCACATCAGGGCTCCTCCTTCTCTCCTCCTCTTCCTCTTTTTCCAATCTCCCCCCCAAGTTTAATCACCTCCAGGCTACAGAATGAACTTATTAACTTTCTGAATGGCCAGCAGAGGGCCCATCTCAGTAGGCACCCAACTTCCCTGCTATCTGTCAACCCCAGGATGGTAAGCACTGAGTGAGGTGGACAGACGACCCAGTTCAGCTCTGGAAAATGAGTTGCTTTTCCTTTTCTTAGTGGGTGTGCAATGTGAAGCCTGGAATCACGGGAGAGGGGCAACGTAAGGGTAAAGCTGTCACAAGAGTAGCTAGGAAGGAAATGCTGACGTCACTGAGTTAATAGTGCAAGCCAGCCCCAAAGGCCACCTTGCCATTATATATGAAAATTTAAGCTAGACTGTAACTTGCAACTACCACCCTCATTTATTTGTATACACATATAACAAAAACTGATTAATTCATTTCTGATACCCACGAAGTAGATAATGTTATAAATAGCTCTAAGTGCATGTCATCACCTAACTAAACTAGTTATCCTTACTAAATGAAATGCAGCGTACCAGATACACCCCTCACCATGTTTCGCCAGCTGTACTCACCCTGCCATGCTTTTTGTTGGAAACCCATTCTCCCTCGTACATTGCTCCACTGGCATAGTAAAACTTCCCATGTCCGTGACGGAATCCGTTTACAAATGCTCCTATGTATTCGTTTCTCAAAGGATACTGAGAGTTGGGGATTCTCTTAAGAAACCATGTGTATGTTCCAAAGCCGTTCTGAAAAGGAAACACCTTGTCAGCATACACTCCCCAGAATGCTCCCCCTTTACCTACACTCGGATTATGGCAAAGACGCTGATAATATGAAGGAGTAGAGCACACGGACCTAGAACCGTATGGACTCAGCTTCAGCTCAGCCAATTACTAGCTGTCTTTTGATCTACGGCAAATGGTTTGAGCCCTTTATAAAATTGTAAAACGGAAATAGCATCTCTCTCGTAGGTTGGATCAAAGCTGTGTGAGACCATTACAGAAGACTAATAGATAGAACAGCGACTACCAAGTGTGGCTGAGGGCAGTAAATCGCAACTTTGGGTTTTGTTCTAGCTTCTTCTCTGTTGCTGAGATAAAGCACCCCAACAAAAGCAACCTGGGGGAGGAGGAAGGTCAGATTACAGTCTGTCACTTCAGGGAGGCTACAGTGGCAGAAGTTTGAGACAGCTAGTCACACTGCATCCATAGTCAAGGCAGAGCGCAATGGATGCGTGCGCAGCTAGCTTTCTCCAGTTAATAGAGTGCAGATCCTTGGCCAGGGAACGGTCCCTTCCACAAATAAGATGGGTGTTCCCACATCAATGAAAGTATCAAAATAGTGTATCCCAGGCTCTCCCAGAGGCCCATCTCACAGGTGACTCTAGATCCTGTGAGCTGGCAGTTAACACTACCCATTACGAGTTTCTTAGAGAAGCCATGTTTAAATGTCAGCTGCCACATGGTATGGCTCCGGTCAGCCCCGCCCACCTCAGTCTGCGACCCAGGCGATGGGCAGGTGCCTACCTGGATCCCCTTCTCCCAGTGGCCAGTGTACTCCTCGTTTGTGGTAAGCCATCTCATTCTGCCTTCCCCATGACGCATATTGTTTTCCCACTGGCCTTCTTATATGTTTCCTGACTTGTAGCTGGGACCAAAGAAGCCAATGATGAACAACTGGTTAGCTCACACAGACAACATTTGCCTTTATGCTCTTCAACTCACCCCTGAAATACTTCTCAGAAAATACAACCCAGGACCCAGGATACTGTTCCCAGTATTGAAAATGGGCAGCACCTGGTTGGCAAAAATATTCATATTAGGGAGTGAAATGATTCCCTTTATTAAAGAGTGAGGTTTTACATTGTTTAGAAACAACTCCTATTGTGTTTGATTACCTAACATTTCATCACTAAATACTATAAATTTTGGGCACGTATGCGAGTGGAGACCCAAGGCTGACACCAGGTGTATTTCCTCTGTTGTTTTTCATATTTACTCTTTGAGACAGGGTCTCTCGCTGAACCTGAAGCTCACCAATTTGGTGGGATAGGGTGTCTTTAATAAGTTTTAAGAATCCTCCTCTGCTCTCCTGTGCTGAGGTTACAGGCATATGCTGCTATACCCAGCATTTTTTAAAAAGATTTATTTATTTACTCATGTGTATGAGTGCTCTGTCTCCATGTATGACTCTATGCCAGAAGAGGACATCAGATCCCACTATGGATGGTTGTGAGCCACAAATGTGGGTGCTGGAAATTAAACTCAGGACCCCTGGAAGAGCAGCCAGTGCTCTTGACTTCTGAGTTATTCTCTCCTGACCCCTCCTCCACCTTCTTTTGAAACAGGGTTTCACTGTGTAGCCCTGGCTAGCCTCGAACTCACTCTGTAGACCAGGCTAACCTCGAGTGCAGAGATGCACCTGCCTCTGCCTTCCGAGTGCTTGGATTAAAGGTGTGTGTCATCACTGCCTGGCTATTCCTGGCATCTTATGTGAGTGCTGGGGATATGTTAGTCCCCATGCTTTCCTGGCAGAATCATTACCAACTGATGCACCTCCCTAGCCCAGTAGTTAAGAGCACTTGCTGCTCTTCCACAGGACCAGCATTCCATTTCCCAGCATCCACGATAGACAATTCACAACCACCTGTAATTCCAGCTTGAGGAGACCTGACACACCTCTCTGGATTTAAAGGCACCAATACATATGTGCACACACATATACACACAAATAAAAAAAATCTTAAAAAAACATATAGCCCTGCTGGACATGAGGTACAGGTTTGTAATTACAACCCTTGGGAGGCAGAGAAAGGAGACTCTGGAGTTCATGGTCAGCAAGAACTTGTACATAAAGAGCCAACAGGGCAGGGGCTGTAGCTCAGTGGTAGGGGGCTTGCTTAGCATGTCCAGGCCTTGGGTTCAATCCCTAGCACTGCCAAAACTAAAATAACAACAAATGACTATCAGCTCACTCCAAAACCAAGCAAAAATATTGCTGTTCCTCAGAGAACATTCAGGAATGTGATCTGTGATGAATGCAGAGGACAGAGGAAGGCAGTTTCTACTCATAACTAAGTGAAATGTACCATCAGACGTTTAGTATGTTTTTATGAGTTTCTGACAGAATGTCTTCATTATTATGAAGAGTCTACTAGGAGTAATTGAAAACTCCACTGTACTTGGACGGAAAATGTGTTCTCCGTCGTTTCTGCACCTTATCTTTAGCCCTGGTGAGAATGAAGTGAGCCTCTAAAAGCTTTTCACCACAACCCAAATGTGGAGGGAAAGGTTGCACCTACCATCTTATTCCCCAGCCCTTTTTGATGTTGTATACCCAGTCTCCCTCATACCAAGAGGTTCCCTCTTGATTGTAATAGATGGAGCCCTAAAACAAACAATATTAGGAGAAATCAAGCCTCATGATGCAAATCCTCTTGGAAACATAAAGATCAGACATGCAAATCTAAGAACTATAAACTATGCAGAAGTCAATGTCACAGTTGCCAAGACACATAACCCATGATGCTTTGGTTTTGCAGAGCAGGTGGGCTGGGGAAATGTGGGTAAAAGTGCTTCCTATGCAAGCAGGAGGATCTGAGTTCAGATTCCAGAATCGACAGAAAAAAATCTAGACTCCCAGTGTAAACAACTGCCATCCCAGCACTCCTGCTAGGGAATGGGAGATGGAGACAGGGGACCCTCCGGGAGCAAAGGGCCGCAGCTAGCACTCTGTATACAGCCGTGAATAACAAGAGACCTGCTGCAAACGAGGTGAAAGAGGAGGACATGCACCTGAGGTTGTCCTCTGACCTTCACATGCACACCATGAAGAAGCATGCGAACACACATAAAGAAAAGGGCAAAGTATGTACACTAACATCACAAGTCAGCCATTTCTTGTGCGAGTCAGACATATTTTTTTAGGGAAGAAACACCTTGCAGAAACAACTTAATGGAGGGATTACTTATTTTGGTTTGTGGTTTCAGGGATTTCAGTCCATCCGCCTCAGTTCTGTTAGTCAGGGGCCAGCTGAGGCAGAGCGTCATGTCAGTAATCATTTGGCAGGAGCTGCTCACCTGTGACAGACAGGAAGTACAGAGGAGCAGGAAGGGACCAGGGACAAGCTAGTTCCCAGATGGCCAGCTCCCAGTACCTGCTTTCTCAAGCTAGGTCTCACCTCCTCTTGGGGCCATCCAACCCTTTGACGTTGAGACTTGATATTGCTATCTATAAGTATGTTGGGTCTTATTCATGGTATCTGGGGATAAATAGGGCCCAAGGTTCACACGTTGATCATGCTTGTTTTCCAGAAACTCCCAATTAGGACCTTCAGCCAGAGGCCAAGTTCCTCGCACATGAGCCTATGAGGAACATTTCCTAGTCACACCAATACAAGTCTGAATAATAAAATGTCCTAAGAAGGCATGGATCAGATAGAGAATCCCATCTTTAGTTAGGCATGGTGGCTCATACCTATAATCTCCACACTTAGGCAGTGAGGCAGAAAGATCACCCCAAGTTGGAGACTAGCCTGGGATACAGGGTAAGAGCCTGTTTCAAAACAAACAAAGGTGACTCATCAGGGAAAAGGTGTTTGCCTTCTAGTCCTGTGACCTTAGACCCACATGGTAGAGAGAATCAACGTCTACAAACTGTCTTCCTACCTCCACATGCACATCATGGAGTATGTGTGTGTGTGCATGTGTGTGTATACTTGCACATGTACATACACACATATAATTAAATGTAATAAAAATATGAAAATAGCTCAAATGTCCATTAACAGATGAATAGACAAATTATAGTACATATTTACAATGAACTATTAAAAAGATAGAGTACCAACACATGTCACAACTTAGATGAATCTTGAAAATATTATGCTTAGTGAAACAACTAGGCACAAAAGGTCACATATTATTTGATTCCATTTATACGGAAATGACTGTTATAGTTTGGATATAAAATGTCCCCGACAAGTTCATGTGCTTAATACTTAGTTTCCAGCTGCCAGTGTTATTTTGGAAGGTTCTGGAAACTTTAGAAGATTGGGGCCTATGGGGAGGAGTGGGTCACTGAGGGGTGCATTCTTGGGGGCTGTTGCATCTTGTGCTGGCCTCATCTCTCTTCCTCCTTTCTACCACGAGGTAACAGTCTCTACATGCTTCCACCACTGTCATATGTGATAGGCCAGGAACAGCACCAATGGCCATGGACTGAACCCTCTGAAACTGTGAGCCAAAAGCTATCTTTTCCCTCCTTGGTTGATTCTGTTAAGTTGTTATTGCTGGTAGTAGCTGTGGGTTGTTTTGTTTTCTTTTGAGACAAGGTTTCCCTATGTCCTTTGGCTGGCCTGGAACTCGCTCTGTAGATCAAGTTGACCTCAAACTCACAGACATACACCTGCCTTTGCCTCACAAATGCTGGGATTAAAGGTGTGTGCCACCATGCCTGTCAAGGGTTTGTGTCACAGTGCCAAAACGTCTGACTGACACAATGTCTAAGAGGTAAACCCATACATATAGAAAGTAGATTGGTAGGCAATTGCTTGGAGTGTGGAGTGGGAGGGATGAGGGCTAACTTCCTAATGCATATGTCTCATTTTGTGGTGCTGAAAACGTTTTTAGTGATGATGGTTGCACAATGTTATGAATGGTTAAGTTTACATCACGTAGACATTCACATGGATGGGATTCTTTCACGGGTTCACCTCACCTACCTTCCCATGTCTCTTGCCATGACACCAGTGGCCGATGTAGGACACGGGCTGTGTGCCACACTTGAACATACCAAATCCATTCCTCATGCCGTTGATCACTTCTCCTTCATACGTGCTGCCATCTGGCCATGTGTACACGCCATGGTTCATGGGGATATTCTTCACAAAGTCCCCCTACAGCAAAATGGCCACCAGAGTAACAGGAGAGGACAATGAAGGGACTCCACACCCAGGAGCTGTTTGAGAGTCTCCTGACCACTGACTGCCCCTGGCTCTTCTGTGGAAGTGGTGCGTGTGGCCCTCACATCCTCTTCTCCATGTTCCCCATCCTCTCTCACCTTGTTCTTTCAGTGCATGGAAGTTCAGGAAGAAGAAAGCTCTGAGAAGCAAGCAGGTGACCTGGTAATGTGGTGGCTGCCAATCCTGACCTTAACTTTAGTCTGTCAGGATCCACCTTGGAGAGGTCTGGATGACCATCCAGGTATTGATCACCTGTGGAAAACCTCTGTCTCACCATGGCTCACCAAAACATCCTGCAGATGTGTTAGTCAAGGGACCACCTCACAGGCACCTTCTGAAGACCTCACTGTGTGCTAGTGGAGGGTGCCTCATTGTGAGCAGCTTGTGGTGATGTGCGCCATGGCCCAAAGATGGCAGGTTCTCTCCCAGAGTGGTTCTGTTGGTAATGTTGGTAGTGGTGCTGGGAATGAACGTGGGCTCCTCACGTGCTAAGCTGGTGCTCTGCCACACTCTAAGACTAGGAATTCACTAGATAATCATCAGTCACCAGAAGACACAGCCATTGGCATTGGCCATTGGCCAAATAGCATATTGGTGCTCCCTGGCTCAACAAGCCTGAGAATGTCTCAAGAGCCACTCATTAACTCCCTTTGCCGGGCTGATCGTGGAGGGTTCTGTGCTTGCAAAGGAGAACCCTCAACCTCCAGAGAACTTCCAGAGACAGTGAAGCAGAAGGACCTGCCTGGTAAAACTACCACTCAGAAACTTTGAGTGCTGGTTGCAGGCTAGGTGGGTGTGGCATGGAAAGGGAGTTCTCTCAGAAAACCTGGCCCTAACACACTGCTGGGGCTGGATCCCCAGGCTCTCCTAAGTGAAGGATCAACCTGCCCTTGCTGTGTCCATTTCTCTGCAGTTCCTGTCCTGCTGCCCAGCTGTCATTTGAATGCATGTGCTATATGCATATGTCTTAAATGTCTCTGCTACCATTTACGAACACCATGACATTAGTAACTCTGCGGTAGACATTTCTAGAACAGCACTTCAGACACTCACAGGCTTTGTGGGTGGGAGCTGAAACTGGCACTGTCTCTTGGAGGGCAAATCTGTTCTCAGTTCTCACAGTCAGTTTAAAAATACCCACTTCCCCTCGGCCCAGCAACCCAGATGGTTTTTGTGAAACCCCCATAATGGAATACGTGCAGTCAGTATAAACAGATCTCTATGGATGGGTATGGCTTACTTAGGAAAGAATAAAGGAATAAAAGAGACTATATAAACTGTGCTTATACAAAGCATGAGGGATTAAACATACATCTGTGTGCTATGCACATGGAAAACATATAGATTATCACCAAATTCCATCCATGTGTGTTGCACACACACAGGACACCTCTAGAACAACAAATAACCAGCTACAGTGATTTCCAGACACCTGAGGCAGTCCTTGAGTCACTACACTGAACACCCAAGTTAGTCTCTGTACTCTTCTGTGCTCTGCACTTTTGGTTCTGGGTTAACCCTAACCTTCTCATTTGTTTTTCTTTTTCTGAAATAGGGTCTTACTGTGAAGACTCAGGATGGCATGGAATTCAAAATCTCCTGCCTCAACCTCCCAAGTGCTGGAATTATATGACACCAGTTCTGTCTGTGCTAACTTACTTGTTTTGTTTATTGGCTTTTTTGTTACAGGGTCTCATTACATAGTTCTAGCTGTCCTGGAACTCACTATGTAGACCAGGCTGACCTCAAACACACAGATATCTGCCTGCCTTCCAAACGCTGGAATTAAAGGTGTGCACCAACATGCCTAACCTAACTACTTTTTGTTTGTTTGTCTTGTTTTTTGAGACAGGGTTTCCCTGTGTAGGCTTAGCTGTCCTGGAACTCACTCTGTAGACCAGGCTGGCCTCGAGCTCACAGAGATCTACCTGCCTCTGTCTCCTGAGTGTTGGGATTAAAGGTGTGCACCACTACCACCTGGCCTAACTTACTTTTGTAAAAATAGTATTATCTAGATGGCTAGAGAGATGGTTCAACAGTTAAGAGCATGTATTGCTCTTATAGAGAACATGAGTGCGGTTACCAGTATTCTATCATATCATCCCAATTGCATGTGACTCCACCTCCAGAGGATTCAGTACCCTCTTCTGGCCTCTGAGAGGACTTGAACTCACTGGTCATAGCAACATGAAGACACGCTCTCTCTCTCTCTCTCTCTCTCTCTCTCTCTCTCTCTCTCTCACACACACACACACACACACACAATTTAAAAAATAAAAGTGAATTCATTAAAAATAGTGTAGTACGTTGACCATTAAGCTCTACAGTTAACTCTAACCCATGATAATGTTTTACCTCGTATTTCAGTCCGTCAGCCCAGATATAAGTCCCTTGTCCATGCATCAGTCCTTCTGAAAACATACCCTAAGAAAGAAATAACAGTGGACCTTAGATGGGAGCTGCGGCTCATCGGAGACTGGAATTCTGTGCATCCCTTTACCCACGGAAGTGTGCTGGCTGCCTGGGACAGCAGCAGGGTGACTGCTCTGAGCATTGCAAAAATAAAACCAAACCAAATTACCTAACTAGGTATAGCCAATTAAAACTATCATTCAGCTATCAGACACATCACATTTGTAAGTTTCATAGTTTGTTACATACTCTTACTGGAAATGATCAGTGTTCATGTGCACATGACTGTGTACTGACAGACACATACATGTATGGATATGTATGTACGTGTGTATAACCTAGGCTCAAGGGGATCCAGTGCTCTCTTTTGGCCTCCATGGGCATCTGCTCACACACAGAACAAGACATACACATAAGATTTAAAAATCTTTAAGAAGTATTCTACTATAATAAACACATATATCTGATAATCTGAATGAATAAATAAATGAATATCTTAATTGTGTCCTACAAATAATGTGGATATGTTCAAGGCCACTAGACTGTCTACTTAAAAGGGTTAAAATAACAAATGTTGGGTATGCTTCAAGTTTTAAAAAAAAAATTTGTCTTGTATTTTGGTGTGGGTCCTACAATGATGAAAGTCATAGAGTAATACATAAAAATTTATAAGTGAAAGCAGTTCCAACTGTACTCTATCATTGTGTGGTTAGCATGTAAAAATCGATGTACCTGTTCAAAGAACAGAAGAAACCATGCTAACTGAGTGTGTTTATGGCAAAATGACAGCAAGACTGAGGGTGCTCTTTAGGGTTCATCGGTTTTTATTTTTTGCAGTGCCAGGCATGGAGCCAGGGGTTTGTGCATGTTCGGCAAGGGCTCTACCACTGTGCTACCCTACCCCCCAGGCCTGAGGCTCTGCTCATCGCAGTAGGCCTGAGTTCCATCTCTGCTTCTGTGATAAAGCAACTTAGAGAGAGGATTTATTTGGCTTACACTTCCAGCTCACAGTCCACTGAGTCAGGACAACTTAGAGAGAGGATTGATTTGGCTCATACTTCCAGCTCACAGCCCACTGAGTCAGGACAGGAACTCTAGCAGGAACTTGAAGCAGAAACCACGAAGGAATGCTGATGGCTTTTACTTCTCTAGCTTCCTTTATTTTTTTTTTTTTTTGAGACAGGGTTTCTCTGTAGCTTTGGAGCCTGTCTTGGAACTAGCTCTTGTAGACCAGGCTGGCCTAGAACTCACAGAGATCCACCTGCCTCTGCCTCCCCAGTGCTGGAATTAAAGGCGTGCACCACCACCTCCTGGCTTATCTAGCTTTCTTATATCACTCAGGACCACCTGCCTAGGGGATAACACCACCTAATATATCAAATATATGGTTAACGATCAACACAATCCCCCACATACATGCCTATAAGCCAAATTGATCTGGATGATCCCTCAACTGACACTCCCTTCTTAGGTGACTCTAAGCTATGTCAAGTTAACAAGTAAAACTAGAGCAGCAACCTCTGTGTTAAATCTGTAGACCGAACCAAATACAGATAGAAGACATTTGGGGGGAAGAAGTTAGACTGTATTATGTAAGTTAGGACTACAACAACTGCATCTGTACTAGACATGTACTTTTTTAAAAAAAGATCATCTCCCCTAAAAGGTACAGTCTAACAACTATTTCCATAGAATCTGGATTATATTCAGTATTGTAAATTGTGCAGACATTGACAAGGAATATGTGAGGGCAGTGGGTGCAGGTTGGTGGCAGGGCACTTGGGTAGCACACTCCAGGTCACTTGGGTAGCACACTCCAGGACACTTGGGTAGCACACTCCAGGGCACACCAAGGTCACTTGGGTAGCACACTCCAGGTCACTCTAGGCCCTTGATTCCATCCTCAGTACATCACAAGGACAAGCAACAACAAAATACTTGGGAGGATATGCATAGGTTTTTGGGGTTTTTTTTTAAGATTTATTTTTACCTGTGTGCATGTGTGACACACAGACATACTTCCAGAGGCCAGAAGGGAGTATCACATCCCCTGGATTTGGAGGTACAGGCAGTTGTGAGCTGTCATTCTGTTGCTGGGAACCAAACACTGGTCCTCTTTTTTTTTGTTTGTTTGTTTTGTTTTGTTTTTTCAAGACAGGGTTTCTCTGTGGTTTTGGAGCCTGTCCTGGAACTAGCTCTTGTAGACCAGGCTGGCCTCGAACTCCCAGAGATCCACCTGCCTCTGCCTCCTGAGTGCTGGGATTAAAGGCGTGCACCACCACCGCCTGGCACTGGTCCTCTTCTACAAGAGCAACAAATGTTCTTAACTGTTGAGCCACCTCTCTAGCACCAGTGGTATGTCCAGGGTCTATGCAAACATGACAGCATTTTGTGTGGGGGACTTAAGCATCCAAGTTTGGCACTGAGCCTATGGATGATAGTTTTTTACCTAGTGATGTATCTATGCCTTGTCAATAGTTAAAAATCAGGGAAAACACCCTAAAATAAGTCAGTTATACTGAGTCATACCTCAGGCAGGAGTTAAGCATAAAAACAATCTGTGGTAGTTCTGATGGTTTTAGAGGAATCAGAGGAATTCACTGAAAGCCCTGAAAATCTAAGACTTTCAGTTCCTCCTTCCCCCAGCCCTCCTGGCTCCAGTAATTATGACTTACATGGTAGGTGTTTCCACCTTGAAAGACAGCGAAGCCTTCTCCCTCATACAGTCCTCGGATTTTCTCTCCTTCATAGCTACAAAGAAATAGAGTTCAAACTCATAAGTGGTGTGGGTTAAAGCACATGGGACATCAGGGTCATGCAGCTGTCGGTGTGGTACAAGATATTCTAGAGACAGAACCCAATGCTAGCTTTAAAACACTGTGAGTGCATTTAATACCCCAAACCATACATTTTATTTATTTCCATCAAAAAAATCTCTTTGTTTTTACGGAGAGATGGTTTATGTGTGCACATGAAAGTGATCTGGAATCATCCTTTACTGCTCTTCCACCTCACCCACTGAGGCGGGGTCTCTCAATCAAACCATGAGCTTGCCGGTATGGCTAGTCTTCCTAGCCAGTTTGCTCTAGGGATTCCCTGTCTCTATCTTCCAAAGCCTGAATTATAGACTGGTGGACCACATGTTCACCTGGCGTTTACCTAAGTTTCTAGGATCTGACTTTGGTCCTTACGTTTGTATGGTCAGCAATTCAGCTACTGGGCCATCTTATTAGTCCCTGAACTATACATTTTAAATGGTCAAAATAGCAAATTTTATGTATTTTTACTGAAAACAAATTGTTCTTTGGGCTGCTAGCTCACAAAAAATGACATGGAGATGTATTCATTATGAAAAGCTCAATCTATAGCTTAGGCGTGTCCCATTAGCCCTTATAACTTAAACTAACCCATTTGTATTTATCTACATTTTGATTTATGGCTTTTTATCTCTATTTCATCTTGCACCTCCTGTTTCTTCTCTGTGTCCTCTGGCATCTCTCCTGCTGCTTAGATTCCCCCTCCTGTCTCTCTGCCCGTAAGTCCCACCTAATGTCTTCCTGCCTAGTTATTAGCCATTCAGCTCTTTATTAAACCAAGCAGAAGGTGCCTTGGCAAAGATACATTTTCACAGTATATAAAAAGATTTTTCTACATTTTACCATGATAAAAACATTCTTGAAGGACTGGAGTGATGGTTCAGTGGTTGCTCTTGCAGAGAACCTGGGTTGGATTCCCAGGTGACTCATGACCACCTCTAACTCCAGTTCTAGGGGATCTGACGCCCTCTTCTGGCTTCTGTGGGCACTGCACACATGTGCACAGATAGACATGCAAGCAAACACTCATATACATAAAGATTAGAAAGAAATACATCTTTAAGAACTGTTTTTAAAAGGTTTTTAGGGAGTTGGGAAAATGACTCAGTTGCTAAAATAACTGACACATAAACCCAAGGACCCGAGTTCAGATCCCCTGTGCCCATGTCGAGGTGCAGCAGCACACATCAGTCAGTAAACACACACCACAAAAATATGATGACCGAGTTCAGAGACCAACACCCATATTACAAAAATTTAAAAAAAGAAAGAAAGGAAAGAAAAGTGAGGCATTGTGGTACACCTTTGTAATTCCAGCATCCCAGTGCTGGGGAGACAGAGGCAAGGATCTCTGGAGCTTGCTGGCCAGACCATCCAACCAAATCAGTGAGTTCCACACTCACACACAAAAGTGTTTTTGGAAGTAGAGAATTGCAGGATCATAAAACTGTATGTGCCAGGTGGTGGTGATGGTAGAGGCGCACACCTTTAACCCCAGCACTCAGGAGGCAGAGGCAGGCGAATCTCTGAGTTCAAAGCCAGTCTGTTCCACCACCACCACCACCACCACCACCACCACCACCACCACCACCACCACCACCACCACCACCACCACCACCACTTCCATGTGACATTTGGCTTACAGAGACTAGCCCTGTCAGCCCCAAGAAAGTTACCTTTCCACAATGAGTTTGGTCAGGATGGGCTCTTCATACTGGGTTTCATCTTCATTCTGATACATATTTGCAGAGTCTCTTTTGGGTGCCAACTGCTTGAGTGGCATTTCCAATACTGGGAGGGCACCAGCCGGTACTTCCTGCTTCCCAGCGCCATCTTTGAAAGCCTCTGGGTTTTCCGAATTGGAGGACGGAGAGCGGGCCGACTTATCGCCTTTCTTGTCTGCTTTTTTCTTTTCTTTCACCATGGCCTTTGGAAGAAGTAGAGTTTACTTCAGATACAGAGTTAGTCAACGATTCCTTCGGTAGGCTGAAGTGTTGTTTCAAAGCATGGATGGGTTTTACCTGAAAAATTATGTCTATAAATACTTGGTTGTTTCAATCATAAAAATTATTATCATTCTACTAAAGCCTGAGTAACAACAAATATCATTCATTTATGTAAATAATTCAATTTCAATGTTGCATGACTGTTTAAACGTGTTTAATATTAGAAGCATTATAAAACATTATTTATTTTAGTTACAATTTTATTGCATTTATTTATCTGTTAACTTTGTGCATATGGGTATGTGTGTGGGCACCTGTGTGCCATGGCACGTGTGTGGAAGATAAACCACAGTTTTCTGCAGGTGCTTCTCTCCCATCATAATGAGTGTCCTGGGGATCAAACTCAGCTTGTCTGGCTTGGCAGCAAGCACCTTTAACCACTGAGCCACTTTTGCCAGCCAATGTAACATTGTCTTTTCAGACAGTGCTGTAGTTAGGAATGGTAATCCTCAGTAGGTAAAGCAGGTAGGCCTGAGTTCAGATCGCCATCGCCCATGTACAAAGCTAATGCAATGGCATGCGTCTGTAACGCCAGCAGCGGGGAGGTGGAGACAGGAGGATTCCTACTGCTCACTCACAGTTTAGATCACACAGGAGCTCCAGGTTCAGTGGCGGACGTTGTCCAAGAAAATAAGGTTGGCGTGGGAGAGAGGACTCTGTAGGCAAAGGTTCTTGCTACAAGCCTGACAACTTGGGCTCAGTCTTTTGAACCTGCATGGAGGAAGGAGAGCACTGACTCCTGCAAGTTGACCTCTGACCTCCACCAGTGAGCCATGGCAGTTGCACACACACACACACACACCATACACAATAAAAATAATAAATAACAACACATACATCACACAGAATAATAATTTAAAAATAAAATACAAATGAAACCATCACGTCCATAAGAACATAAAGGCTATTGCATGTTAGCAATGTTGTATCCTGAAGCAAACTGCTTTCTGCCTCAGATATCAAACAAAAATAGTATCTTATGTCAAGATTCGGGTGACAGAAAAAAATCCAGAAGTATGCAGTGCAGATCAATAGATACAGAGTGACTTCATGCTTTTGAATTTGAAATCAATGACTGCGTAGGCTCTAGAGCACAATGGCAACTTCCTGTTGTACATGTGGTGCATATGTGTTTGTGTGTGAGGGTATGTGCATGTGGAGGGCTGAGCTCAGCACTAGGTCTTCCTTTGTCTCGTTGTGTCTTATTTTTTTTGAGTCAGGGTTTCTCACTGGACTTTGAGGCCACCAGTCAGGTAAAGCTAGCTTAGTCAGGGAGCCCCAGGGGAGGCTCCTGTGCTTGCTTCTCAAGCACTAGGATTATCGGTGCATGTCACAGTGTCTGCATTAAAAAAGATTTAAAAATATTTTTGAACATTTCATTATTTCTTGTTTATGGGTGTTTTGTCTGCATGTATGTCTGGGAAACACATGCATGCAGTACCAACATTTCACTATTTTTGTGATTATGGGTGTTTTGTCTGCATGTATGTCTGGGCAACACATGCATGCAGTACCCAGGAAGACCAGAAGAGGCATCAGATCCTTCTGAATTGGACTTAAAGACAGTTGTGGGCTGCCATCTGGATGTTGGGAATTGAACTCTGGTCATGAAAATCTGACAACAGGAAAAGGTTTCTGAATGTACTACCAAAAATTAATTCAAAATCAAATGCATAATGAATCCAACATATTTCTGGCATAACTCTCCTGGGTTGTATCAGATAACTCCACTGTCTTGGTTCTTTGTCCTTTAAGGTTTCTTGGTTTGTTTAAAAATTATGTGTATTTATGTGTGTGTGGAGTATGTGCATGTGAGCGCCGGTGCCCTCAGAAGAGGATCCCCAGAATCTGGAGATAGAGGTGGCTATGAGTCACTTGACACGTGTGTTGGGAACTGAACTCGGGAACCTTTGCTCCATCTTGGTCCTTAACACTCAACCTGTGCACTTTGTACCGTGTATGCCATCATGCCATGCAATGCTCCTTGAAACACCTCAGCTCAGATACGACTATTACATTATATGAATTGTAGGGTTTTCACTGTACAGTTTCCTACTTTTATAAAACTATGATTTAATTACAGAAAAAGGCAATATTTTTCTATTGTCATTCCTCAGTGTGTATATCTTTGAATGAATTGTTAGAATGTTTACAATTTTTAATTTTGTGTGTACATGAGAGTCATCATAATCATGTAGCAGGCACTCAACTGCTGAGCCAGCTCTAAAGCCCAAGACCTAATTTTATATGGATATAAACAAGCAGGCTAGCAAGATGACTTCACAGGAAAAGGCATTTGCCCACAAGCCTGAAGATCTGAGTTCAACTCCCCGAATCCACAGGATGGAAGAGAATCGATTTCTGCAAGCTTTCCTCTGACCTCCATTTGTACAAGTGACACACTAGCCGTAACCCCACCCCATTAGATAAATAAAATGGGAAAAAGTGAAGCACTAAGAGCATTTGCTGCTCTTGTAGAGGATCTGAGTTCAGGCCCCAGCATTTATGTTGGATGGCTCACAGCCACTTACTTCAACTCTAGGGGATCCAACACCGCCTTTGGCCTCCATGAGTATTTATATATACACACACATAAATAAATCTTAAAAACACAAAATTGCTTTATTTAACAAATAGTAATTTAACTGTATCCCAAAATTGTTTTGAAATAAAGTATTATTTACAATCAGTAAATATTTGTTGTGCACACCCATTTTATATACTAAAACCTGAGTCATGCAAAAAATTTCTTGGGCAGAAAGGGGTGGAGTGGAAAATGTGCAAGTAGCCCTGTTGTAGATTCACGGCTGGGTGGCGCTCATCCCCACGGGGGTCAGAGGGGAGAGAGTGAGCTGCAGTGTTGAGAGCAAAGCTCCAAAGCCACGATTTTCAGGCCCCTCTGATACTGATCTCATTCATTGTGCGCTACTATGTTAGCCAAGCAAGATATAAAGAAATCCTGGGAAGCAAAGAAGTCTGGTCCATCTGGGGGTGGACCGAGTGGCACTCCATGCCTGCCTCTTCCCACCTCAGAGTTTCTTTCTCCAACACAGCAAGCAGTTCAACAACTTGCCCAAGCACCCGATGCCTATCAGCTGCCCTCCACCTCCACTCTCAACTTGAACAGGCAATTACTTTTTTTTTTTTTTGGTCCTCTACTAGTGAAATTCAAACTACAGCTAAAACTAACTTGCTTCTTATAGTGACATCCCGACCCCCATTCTTACAAAATTGCCGTATTATTGCACAAGTAAACTGCAAACCGGCTTTTTCTCTGGGCATGGGTCCCAGCACCACTCCACCCAGCTGCAGGATCCCCTGCATCTTATCAATCAAGCACTGGCTCAAGTCTTGGAAGACTAAGGAAGAAACTCGTCCAAGCCTTTAAGTTGTTGCTGCACACACAGGACTACCTTAGGGTGCTCACCCACTTGTTCTGGTCAGGCCTGCAGATTGAAGGAAAACCTTGCGTCCTGAGAGCTAGGTGGTTTCCAAGCAACTGCCATAAGCCCCGCCTCCTGAGGTCTTAAAGGGGCCGCGACGCAAATACAAAGCTGTAGAGCAGTTTTACCATGCTTAGTCTCAAGAGGAACTGGGCACTTGAGCTGGATATACTTGGCCTGGATTTCTCCAGTTCTAACTGTAAAGCGTGTGACCCCTCTCAACATGTTTCCTCACAATAAAACAGAATAATGCAGGCTTTTGTTTTCCACCACTGCCTTAACCCAAACAATGGTTTGAAGTCACACAATCTTAACAGCTGAAAGTTGCAGGTCTGGCTTGGAGGCCTCCAGGGAGTCTGCATAATTGTGCTCCACATTGAAGAACTTATGTGACAGAGCCTACCATACCGCAGAAGACAATCTCCCCATCACTAGGATCTGTAATCCCTTCTGGAGTCCCCCTTGTCCTGTATGAGGTGAAGCACAGGTTCTGGTGACCAGAAACAGACATTGTTGAGGGCCATTACTGTACCTCCTATAACTCCCAACTTGCACTGGTCCAAACATTAAATGAGACCTTGCAGACCTGCAGCAGCAGTCTGTTTGGAGACGTAGCCCTGGCTGGCCTGGAACTATGTATCAGCTCAGGCTGACCTTAAACTTAGAGATCTGCCTGCCTTTGCTTTGCTACCTCGCCCAGCAACTGAAGGTGAAGAGCTGTGCCTCCACCACCTCACTGCACCTGAGCCATGGCAGCCTCTTTTCCAGGAGGCCACACCAGTCATCACCGTGCCCTAACTACCAGCTAGGCTCTAAGGAGGTGTTTTTATTTTTATTTTTAGCACAGCCCAAGTGGAAGAGATTCCATGGAAACAAAAACAAATATCCCATAGTTCACACCCCAAGGAAACAAAATTATAGCACTGAGCCATAGAAACTCAAATGTTTTTATTTCACTCCCTGCCCCAGCCTCTACTTTCCACTCTCCTTGCACTAAGGAACATTTAAAAATAGTGATCCCAGTAAGGGTGATGGTGCACGCCTTTAATCCCAGAACTCAAGAGGCAGAGGCAGGAGAATCTCTGTAAATTCAAGGCTAGCCTGCTCTATATAGCAAGGTCCAAGTCAGCCAGGGCTCATTCCTTCCCATTCCCACCCTGCAAAAGTGACCCCAGTACTACTATTCAGTATTCTTTCCAACCAGGTAAAGAATCCCCCCCCCACACTTTTCTTCATTTAATATGAGTCAGGATTGAGAACTACTAATTTTAAAAGACCATAATTTTTTATTTGGGTGTGTGACGCACTTGTAATCCTAGCACTTCGGAAGTGGAGGCAAGATCAGTTTACGGGCAGCCTTGGCTACAAAACAAGTTTAAGACAAGTCTGAGTTTCATAAAACTGTCTCAAAACACAGGGGGTAGGAGTGGGAGAGAACAAGAAAGTAAACAACATGAATTCAACTGTCACTGAGGGCTGAAAGCTGCAGACTATAATACCCCCAGTCAGGGGAAAGACTGCCAACTTCCAAAGGGCTCTCTGTTGTGGAGTATTATCTTAAGATGTATTACATTTGTTTATACTGTGGAGCATTTGCTTTAATGATGCAAAGATGCGCTGCATTCTTTTATGTTACGTTTGTTTAACTCTGTGAAGCTGTGATTCTTTGTCTAAAATACCTGATGGGCTAATGAAGCGCTGAACAGCCAAGAGCGAGGCAGGAGAAAGGATAGGTGGGGCTGGCAGGCGGAGAGAATAAGTAGGAGGAATCTGGGAGGAGAGGAAGAAGGAGCAAGATAGAACAAGGAGAGGAGGAAGGACATCAGGGTCCAGCCACCCAGCCAGCCACAGAGTTAATAGTGAAAGTAAGATATACAGAAGTAAAGGAAAAAGCCCAGAGGCAAAAGGTAGTTGGGGATAATTTAAGAAAAGCTGGCAAGAAACAAACCAAGCTAAAGCCGGGCTTTTATAAATAACAATAAGACAACGTGTGTGATTTATTTGGGAGCTGGGTGATGGCCCCCCCAAAAGAATAAAACAACCTACAACATTTTGGCATTCCAACGTAGGGCTAGAATAAAAAAAAATTAACAACAGCTCTCCTTGTTTTTCTAAGGCATATCTTTGCACACCACTTCCAAACACACACATACCACACACATACACTACACATATACACATACACCACATGCATACTTAAATTTCAAGGCAATAACAGTAGACATGATGAAAAGGCTTCATTTTTTTTCTCTCTCTCTTTGGAATGGAGTCTGATTAATGTAGCTCAGGGTGGTCTCAAACTCCTGGCCTCAAGTGAGCCTCCCACTTGGGTCTAGCTGGGCTAGCGGCACACATGCCACTATGCCTGGCTTAACACTGTTTTCAAGTGGATCTGAAGCATTCAAATAGCAGAGAATAATCTGCAGTAAACTCTACCCTACAAGCATCAGTTCTGGGAAATGATGTCCAGATTTGCAATGTGCCTCATGGTTGGCCTTCCATGGGGACAGTTCCAGGGGTGGTCCATCTCACCCATGTGAGTGATGAGCTTCTTCATCTCGCTTATGTTGAGAGCGGTTCCAATCATCACCTGAGTACGAGAGACAAGAGTGGAGTTTAACTAGACTTTGTCACAACAGTCTTCAGAAGCACAGCGCTAGGATGAGACCAGACAAGATCACAGCTTAAAACATTTCCTGAAGAATCTTCCCCCAGAGTCCCTTCTCACGGTGCTCCACATTTCTGTTGAGCTTCCAGCCTTCATGGCTCAGGCTTGACCTCTCAATAAGTGGATCAGCACCCCCTTCTCTCAACATTCCACATGACTTTACTTCTCTCCTCTCACACTGGCAGCCAGAGTGGTCCAGAGTGCCTCTCTCCACTCAGCAGGGGGCAAGGAATTTTATTACTTGTTTATTTTACTTTCTGATGCGCATGTGCGCATGTGTATGCATGTGTTCGTGTGTGTGTGTGTGTGTGTGTGTGTGTGTGTAAGCGTGCGCGCACACTGCATGTGAGCATATATGTGTGCACGCATGTGCATGCTTGCGCCTGTCTGAGTGCATGGAGGCCAAAAGTATACACTGATGTCTATCATGATCTACCTTAGTTTTTGAGACAGGATTCTCTCATCAAACCCTTATCTCATTATTTTGGCTAGACTAGCCAGCCAGGGAGCCCCCGGGATTCATAGGTGTCTCCACTTCCCCAGAGCAGGGATTACAAATATGCACCACAACTTGCTTCTTAATTTGAGTGCTGGAGATTTGTATTCAGGTCCTCATGCTTGTACAGAAAGTACTTTACGTGCAGAGCCATAATCCCAATCCCTAATTTTTTACTTTTCCTTGAAGACAGGGTCTCACTAGAGTTAACCCTGGCTGGCCTGGAACTCACTATGGATCAGGCCAGCCTTTGCAATGAACCTCTTGGCCTCTGCCTCCTGAGTCCAAGGGTTATAGATTTGAGTCACCATGCCAGAACAATAGTTCTTTTAAAAAGTCTGTCAGGTCACACTACTCTTTCCAGCTCTTCCTTCACCCAAGTAAAAGCCTAGGTCCTTGCCCAATGTGCCAGCATATCTGTGTTGGTTTGAATGAGAATGGCTCTTGTAGGCTCATATGTTTGACGGGTTGGTTCCCAGTTGGTGTTCAGGAAGGACTAGGAGGTGTGGTGTTATTGGAGGTGTGTCTCTGGAGGTGGGCTTTGAGTTTTCCCCATGCCAGGTCCAGTCTCTCCTCTTTCCTCTCTCCCTACCTTCTCTCTGTGGCCTATAGATCTGTATGTAAGCTGTTAGCTACTGCTCCAATGCCATTTTCCCACCATGATGATCATAGACTCATCCTCTCAAACTGCATACAAGCCCCCTGTAGAGAGCAGCGTGGAGCCACATCTGATAATCAGCTCCTAATTATGGCTAAGACCTGACTTATGCTGTGATCACTCAATGATTGTCAGCTGCTTGCATATGCGTGAACCTATGGGCAGTGCCCACCTGGCAATCTGGGGTTGGCAGCCTGTGCCTTTTTAAGGGCTGGGAGAGGTTTGTCCACAGAGATGAGGAGAGAGAGGGAAAA